AACCACACAGATTTAAAAAATCAAGTGATTTTATTTAGGATTTTTTATTTTTAAAATATTCTATATTTTCTTCTGGTATTTTGTGATTTTATTCTTTGCATTTAGATCTTTGATCCATTTGAAACTTATTTTGATGTAGGGAGAGAGGTGCAGATGCAACTTGAGCTGTTTTTATTTTTTACCCCCAGATGGCTAGCCAGTGGGTGCAATCTCATTTATTGAGCTACTATCTTTATAATGTAACAAATTCCCAAGTATATTTACGTCTATTTTGGGATTCACTATTCTTGTTCTGGTATGTCTGTCTATTCATGTGCAGGAACCAAACTTTTAATTAGTGTCCTCATTACTCTCCTTTCTCAGAGTTTTCCTGGATATTTTTAATATTTATTTCACATAAGAACTTTAGAATCAATTTGTTTAGTTCCAAAAATAGTCCTGTTTCTATTTTTATAGGAACAAGGAGTGGGTTAAATTTATAGGTTGACTTAAGAAGACTGGACATCTTTAAGATGAGTCTTTCTGTCCAAGAATAGCTTTTTTCCCCCAATTTATTTAAGTCCTGTTTTTTGTTCCTAAGTCATTTTTCTGTATATATTAACCAATTAACAAGAAATGTTATAATATATATAACATATATATATGACAGACATACCAGAACAAGAATAGTGAATCCCAAAATAGACATAAATATACTTGGGAATTTGTTATATTATAAAGATAGTAGTTCAATAAATGAGATTGCATCCACTGGCTAGCCATCTGGGGATAAAAAATAAAAACAACTCAAGTTGCATCTGCACCTCTCTCCCTACATCAAAATAAGTTTGTAATATATATAAACATTTCTTGTTAATTTATAAATTTTTGGCATTTTATTTTTATTGTTTTAATTATCATGGGGCCCTTTGCCTCCGCAATAATATTTAACTGGTTACAGTTTTTATATTGGAAAACTTTGATTTTTAATAAGTTAATTTTGTACTCAGCCACTTTTACAAATAATCTTATTGTTTAAAATAGTTTTTTCCTTGAAAAAACATTTTTTATTATGAGACGTATCATACACCCAGAGAAGTACTTACAGCTTACATATTCAGTTTAACAAGTCAGTATAAAATAAACACCCTTGATTTATTTAAGCAACTATCACCCAGGTCAAGGAAGAAACTTTGCCAGCAGTCCAGCAGCCCCCCACTTATAATTATTTTTCAGTTGAATTAGTGGTCAACACTTAAAATTCAGGAAATTTTATATAAAAACCCACATTCTGGCCTCTCTTGAAAAATGAGACAATGCAGTCGCACTGGGCCTGCGTTCCCACATGGTAGCAGTTGCCTGGAACCCTGGAGCAGTTGCTCTTTTAGATGGACCGTGCACTCTTTAGCTCGGTGTAGGTTGCCATTTATCATCACACTTGAGCTACACCTGCCTTGGCGATGTCGGAATTTCTGAAGTTTTCTTTTGACTGTAAAAGCCAAAGGAGTGGTAGTTGGTTGGCTGTTGGAAAGTGAGGCTGAGGGGGACGTGCGGCTCTGGTTTAGGCAGGGGGATGGTGCTGTTCCCTGAGACAGGAGCTCAAAGTTTGCAGAGCAGATGATGAGTTTGTTTCCAGACACAGTGAGTTGGAGGTGCCCGTGGGACAAGCCAAGGGGAGATAGAGCTCAGGTGGCCGTGTAGATTTGGGAGTCATCAGCTTATAGAAAGCAGCTGAAGCTGTTGCAGTGCATGAGATACCCAGGGAGAGTGTTGGATGTGAAGAACCTTGAGGAGCCCACATTTAAGGGAGCTGCAGGGGAAGCGGACTCTTTGCTGAGTCTCCAGCTCCTAGCTGCATGCGACTTCCAAGGGACACTGGAAAGAGAAGGATACTTCTACTGAAGGGCAGGGCAGACCAGGAGAACGTGGTCTGGAAGCCAGGGAAAGAATGTGTCTGAAGAAGACGGAGAGGAGTCCGCCACAATGTTAAGACCTGTGGATGGATCAGGGAAGATAAGGCCTGAGGAGGTCTGTGGGGTTTAGCTACCAGAAGTCCTGGGCGAGCTTGATGAGAGCAGTTTTAGAGGTGAAGAGAGGGCAGCTCTCACCCCTCATTCTCACTGAGAAATGGGAAGAAAGGGAATTTTTGAGGACGATTCTTTATTTTTTTTAAGATTTTATTTATTTTTCCCCCCAAAGCCCCAGTAGATAGTTGTATGTCATAGCTGCACATCCCTCTAGTTGCTGTATGTGGGACGCGGCCTCAGCATGGTCGGAGAAGCGGTGCGTTGGTGCGCGCCCAGGATTCGAACCCGGGCCGCCAGTAGCGGAGTGCGCACACCTAACCGCTAAGCCACGGGGTCGGCCTGAGGACGAGTCTTTAAAGAAGGTAGGCTATAAAGGGGAGCCGAGTGTGGTATCTGTTGGAGTATGTGGAGTCAGGGAAGTGCTGCTTTTTGTTTTTGTTTTTGTTTTTAAGATTTTGGAAACTTGGCCTTACTTAAGTGTTGATGGGAAGGAACTAGTAGATTGAGGGTATAGGAGAGCTGGAGAAGATGGCATCTCAGAAAGCAGGAGGGGGCCGGCCCCGTGGCTTAGTGGTTAAGTGCACTCCGCTACTGGCGGCCCGGGTTCGGATCCCTGGCGCGCACCGATGCACCGCTTCTCTGACCATGCTGAGGCCGCGTCCCACATACAGCAACTAGAGGGATGTGCAGCTATGACATACAGCTATCTACTGGGGCTTTGGGGAGAAAAAAGGAGGAGGATTGGCAATAGATGTTAGCTCAGAGCCAGTCTTCTTCAGCAAAAAGAGGAGGATTAGCGTGGATGTTAGCTCAGGGCTGATCTTCCTCACACACACACAAAAAAAAAACAAAAAAAAAAAAACAAAAAAAGAAAGCAGGAGGAAACCGGATCAGAATGTAGAGCCCAGGATGAGGGTTTGGCCTTAGGTGGGAGGAGGCCTCTTCTGTCATAAATGAGAGAAATCATAGGTGTGGAGACAGGTACATTTATAAGTTTTGTAGCAGGAAGTGGCTGGAGTTCTCTGATGCCTTCTATATTTCTGTGATGGAAGAGGTGAGGCTTTCTGCAGAGAAGGGGAGCGCAGGAGGAGACCAGGTTTGAGAAAGTAGAGGATTTGCAAACAGTCACTGTGAGAACAGGAGGGAGAGCAGATTGGGGAAACCCCAGGGATGCAGCAAGCAGAGCCCAGTTGGGATGGGAGACCTTGAATATGCAGTATGCTAATCTGTGGGGTCACCTGATCTTCTCCAGCCTTGCTGGCTGCCTTCTCAGGGACACAGCGGGGAGGACAGTGGATTTAGCCAGGGTTGCTGTATTGCCAGGTGGCTTAGACTAATGAATGAAGCAAAAGAGTGAGGATTGGCAAGAGAGTGGTGAAAGTGACAGACGGCAGGGAGGAAGTGGAGATGGGAGGGGATGAATAGGCAGAAAAAAAGACCAGGGGTCAGTGCCCTGAGGATCCCTAATGAGGTCAAAGAACTGGTAGATTGGGAGGACTTGAGTGCAAGTGCTGGAATCGGGGGTGGTGGGGGGTGGAGCTAGGCTCAGGGAGTGGGGTGTCTGGGTGGGTTATCTCAGGGGTGGGGGAGTTGTGAAAGTCACAAATTCCAGCATGTGGCATGGGAGTGGCAGCTGGAATGGGAAGCAGAAGAAGGTCACTGGGTGTGAGGTGGCAAGGGACACTTACCATGAGGGCTATATGCAACTTTCTGGTATTGCATTTAATAAAGGAAAAAGGAACAAGTGAAATTAATTTTAATGTTTAACCCAATATTCCCAAATATTATCATTCCAACATGTAATCAATAAAAAAATTATTAATGGGGAATTTTCTGTTCTTTTTTCATACAAAATCCTCTCTGCCTTCCATCTTTGTATCTTTTTCTCTACTTTCTGAGAGATTTGTGTCAACTTTATCTGTTATCTTTCTCTGATTTTTCAATTTTCTGCTATCACTTTTGCCTTCCAGGAGCTCTTCCAGGGTTTGCTTGTAGCACATCCTGTTTTTATTTCACTGATGCTCTTTTGTTTCTGTTCTCTCTCTCGGGATGTGAGCGGCAGTCATGTTTGTTTTTCTGGTTTGGGGTGGGCAGTCTTCCTTCCTTCCTCACCGCCTCTGTCCCCTCTTGCTCCCTTTGAGTGGTTTTTTTCGCTTGTTTTGTTTCGCTCCCACCTTTTGTGCTAAGAAAGACAGAGGCCAGTGTTTTGTGGCCCTTGGTCATCTGTCCCTATTTAAGGGAAGAGAGCTGGAAAGCTGATTGGAAGCTCTGCCGAACAGGTAGTGGACTCTCAGCTGTGAGCTCCACTGCCGGCTTGTCCCGGTGGGCTGTTCTCAGGGGACCCCTGAGGTCATCATCCTTGGGACTTTTCCTCTTGGGCTGGTCAGAGGCCACAGAAAACAGTCTTTCAACTTCCTTCTGGAGAGTGTAGGTCCAGCTGCTAGAGGGCTGGTTTCTGGGTGGGAAAAGAAGGCTGGGCGTCTGCCCTTTGCATCAAGAATATTACTCTCTCCTTCAGCTGGGCCTGGGGTCCCCAGTCCAAAGACCCTCTGATTGTCTCTGTACTGCCTTCTCCAGACGAGAAGCCTTCAATCCCATGCTGGGGTGAGGAGGGGACTTGCTTAGCTGTGCAGAGTGGGGAGGGGCCTTGGGGAGAGCTGCTTCCTAAACTTCCTAAATTGGTCTCCCTGTTTTACTCCCACCTGCACCCCTTTCCTGAGATACTTGAAGCCACCGGCCCCTGGGACTTCAGAGAGGCTTCTTATCTGTCTCCATCGCCAGCTGAGGATTCCAGTTTTGCTCCTTATCCATCTGCTTTTCATCTTCCAAAACTTTTCTATTGTTCCTTGTATTGGGGGGCTTATGCCTTAAACAAAAACTCCCTTTACAGTTGTTTAGTGGTTTGGGGAGCCCTGCACCCCTTGGTCCATTGTTGGTTCTAGTTTATGCCCTTGAGGAACCTCCTCAGCTGCTTTGCTTTTCTTTCTCCCCAAGGTCCCTGCTGATTCTCTTTGTGGAGATTGACTACTGGGAGCGGCTGCTGTTTGAGATACCCCATTATGTGGTGAACGTAGCCGAACGAGCCGAGGACCTGCGAATCCTTCGTGAAAATCTGCTACTCGTTGCTCGAGACTACAATCGGTGGGGCTCCGGTCTGCGTTGCAGCCCTCCTGTCTGCTGTTTTATGCCTCCTCTTTGTCTTATCTGCCCCATGATGTTATCCGTTTCCTACAGTCTCCGTCCTTTAGATTTAGTCCGTCTCAAAAAAAATCGTTTCCTCTACTTTTACAGTCCGATGATGATTCCTGTCCCTTGCAGTTTTGTCTTCTAGCTTTAGGGTAGAGAGCAAAAACAACCAGGTCCCCTCCCACCCCACAGGGCACTCGGACCTTATATATCTACTGTAGGCCTGGGTCTTTAGGAATGAAACTGGGTGGCATCAGGATTATGGGCATGGAATAACATCAGAGTCATTGAACCAAGGCCGGGCTGGCACCCCTTCTCTGAACTCCCTTGGTACTCATTTCTGGAGTGAGGTATGGCTCTGGGTTGGGGACCTTTCTCAGCCCAGTTCAAGTCCAAGGGGTGGAACCACCAATCTTGTTTGAATGTCTAGAACTGTACTGTCCAGTATGGTAGCCACGAGGTGCATGTGGCTGTTTCTATTTTAATTAATTAATTGAAATTAAATAAATTTTAAAAATTCAGTTACTTATTTGCACAGGCCACATTTCAAATGCCCCACAGCCACATGTGGCTAGTGGCTACCGTGTTGGACAGCACAAATTGTAGAACATTTCCATTATCGCAGAAAGTTTTATTAGAAAGCAATAGTCTAGAATTGTGAACTTTCAGATTTCTCCACAAAGTGTCCTAGTGTGGAGAAGAGGTCTGCAGAGCTTGCCCCCCCAACCACCAGTCTTCTCTCATACGCAGGATTATTGCCATGCTGTCCCCAGATGAGCAGGCCCTATTCAAGGAACGGATCCGATTCCTGGATAAGAAGATCCACCCTGGACTCAAGAAACTGCACTGGGCCTTGAAGGGGCCTAGTGCCTTCTTCATCACAGAGTGCCGCATACATGCCAGCAAGGTGGGCCATGGTCATTAAACCCTAAAGATCTGCAAGGCTGACCGAAAGGCTGGTGCATGGGTAATTAATTCCTGAGTCCTGGGTAGTGGTGGAGAGACCGGGAGTAGTGTGAAAGTATGCTTGGGGAAGGACTTTTTTTGGTGTCAGCAACTCTAGCTGGAGGACAAACGGGAGGATAAAACTAGGCTCAGAGGTCTTTCCCCAAGCTGAAACAACCCCCCATGGCTGGGGTCTGACTCCAGGTGCAGGCAATTGTGAATGAGTTCAAGGCGTCCACTCTGACCATTGGCTGGCGAGCCCAAGAGATATCAGAGACGCTGCTGGTACGCATCAGCGGCAAACGGGTGTACAGGGACCTGGAATTTGAGGAGGACCAAAGAGAGCATCGAGCAGCTGTGCAGCAGAAATTGATGAGCCTGCACCAGGATGTGGTGGCCATCATGACCACCTCCTATGAAGTCTTCAAGAATGATGGCCCTGAGGTAGGGGTCCTGTGGCCAGGGCTTTGTGGTTGGGCATTCTTCAGTCCCCCGGTCCCATCAGACCATTCTCTTGGTCTTTCCCTTTTTCCACCAGTGTGTGCTTCTCAAACATCCTGCTCTTGTCTTGGATTCGCCCAACCTTCAGTCTTTCAATCCTTCTTCCTTCAGGACTCAGTGTCCTGCCTTTCTATCTAGCCAGCTTGTTCCTTTCCCCATTGGCTGGTTCTCATTTCTTAGGGCCCGCCCTGTCTTCCCTGAAGGGTTCCATTTCCCCATCTCTTCCCACCAGATTCAGCAGCAGTGGATGCTGTACACGATACGATTGGACCACATGATGGAGGATGCCCTGCGCCTGAATGTGAAGTGGTCACTCCTAGAACTGTCCAAAGCTATCAACGGGGATGGAAAGACCACCCCAAATCCACTCTTCCGAGTCCTTGTCATTTTGCAGAATGACCTGCAGGGAGGTGTGGCACAGGTGGGAATCACTTTGCCCCCAACACCCCAAAACTGTCATACTTTATTTGCCAGTTTCCTTCAATCCTTAAACGTGGCCCTTGGCCTTGACTTTATCCCACGGCCTCTAGGCCTGGTTCTGAGGTGTTCAACCTTACCAGTCCTGAGCCTTGACTCCTCCATGGCCTGTGCTAAGGCCCTCTCCACTGTGTTCCCATAGGTGGAATTCTCACCCACTCTGCAGACTTTGGCAAACGTGGTTAATGATATTGGCAACTGCCTCTTCTCTACCATCTCTGTCTTCCGCCACCTCCCTGAAATTCTCATCAAGTGCAAGTTTCATCGTGACCCCATCCATACAATTGTGGGTGAGTGGGCAATGGGGAGGACACCAGATGCAGAGGTATCAGAGGCTTAGGAATGGGTGGAGCTAGGGGGAGAGACCAGTGTGTGTTTCCAGACATACTGGGCCGATCATCTCCATGGGTGGAAAACCCAGGTCAAGGGGCCAGATTGGGGAAGGGAGTAAGGGCAGAGATGAGGGTCAAGATTAGGTGACTAGTGTTCAAGGGATTTGGGATTTGGGGTGGGAGATTAGGAAAGACAAGTTTGGGATTGGGGCTGGGATATAAGATGCCTAGATACCAACAGGTAAGATGTTCGAATCCTATGGATTAGAGTCATGCTTTTACTTTCTGCCTCCTCTGTTATTTTCTAATGTTCCTGTTTGAGCCATGTTTCTTTGGGGAGGTGGTATTGGAGTGGAGGGTCTGGGGCAGTGGCCAGGGGCCACGCTGGAGTTTGGGTTGAGATGGAAGTTAATGAGAAGCATTTTGCTGGGTCTTAAGAGCGAGATGAGGACATCAAGAAGATCCAGGCCCAGATCAGCAGCGGTATGACCAACAATGCAAGCCTGCTACAGAACTACCTCAAGACCTGGGATATGTATCGGGAGATCTGGGAGATCAACAAGGACTCTTTTATTCGTCGCTATCAGCGCCTCAACCCCCCTGTTTCTTCTTTCGACGCAGACATTGCACGGTGAGGAGTGAAGGTGGATATGAAGGTCTGTCCCTACGAGGAATAGAATCACTGGAGGAGGTCCAGGCCTAGAGCCTTGGGAAGGAGGGTTAGGTGTAGGGGGAGGTACAGAAAATGTGTGTCCTCAACTATGAGAAAAGAACAGGACCTAGGGCATTGGACCTTTGTTTTTCAAGGGGTAGAAATCAGGTAAAAGTTGGACAAGATTGAGGGAAAAAGCTGTTTTGGTGGGGAGTACCGTAGGGTTCTGTTGGGAAAGAAGAAATGCTAGGGATCCTAAAGATGAGAAAAGTGAACACTTTCATTATAAGAAAGCAGATTGGAGTTAAACTGAAGAAGATTCTTAAATTCTCATCTGAACTCCCATCTGTTTGTCCTCTAGTCATTTGTTCATTCATTCATTCAATAAACCCATGTCCTATGGGTCAGGAGGAATAAAAAAAAAGAGATGAACATGTTTTTTTCCTCCTGAGGGCTAGAGTGTAACAGAGAAGGTAAAAGTTTTGCTGGAAGAGCAATGGCTGTGGTGTCTTGAGAAGGGTTGAGAGCCCAGCTCCACCTCTGTAGCTGTGTAATCCTAGGCAGGTGACTTATATTCTCTGGGCCTTAGTTTCCTGAGAGACAGATATTATACCACCTCCCTTATAAGGTTGTGAGATTACTAAATATATGTGGAAGCACTTTGTAAGCTCTAAAGCACTGTGCTAATGTACTTCTTATTATTACACCAGCTTCAGTGGATTAAGAACTATGGTTAAGATATACAAGGTGCTAGGGCAGTTCAGTGGAAGGAGAGAGTTTCCAGCTAGGGGCATTAGGAAAGGGAGGACATGAATGAAGGGAGTGAGTTTGGGGCTGGGCTTTCCGGGATGGGTAGGATTTCAACAGGCAGAGATGGGCAGTGGGAGGGCCTTCCAGCTAGAGAAAATAGCGTTAAGAAGAGGCATAAAGATGGGAACACATGAGCACGTTCACCAAATAGTGAGTACTGTGGTCCAGAACACAGGGACAGGAGAGGAAGTAGGCAAACAGACAATTCTCTCAATAACCTTGTGAGGTAGGTTCTGTTATTATCACCATGTTGCAGGTGAGGAAACTGAGGCTCAGGGGTCACAGAGCTACTATGCAGCACAGTGTGAACTGAACCCAGATCTATGTGACTCTAAAGCCTTGAATACCAGATTAAGGAGTCTGATTGCTATCTCATAGGCAGTGGTGGGCAAAATGACATGATGACTGCTGTATGCCTGGGATGGATTGACATGGGAGGCACCTGGGAGTAGAAGGATACTTTCGAGCTGCTGCACAGGTCTGGGTGGTAAGAAATGAGAACTTGAACTAGCGTCAGGGCAGTGAGCACTTCTGCAAAGAAAAAAACATCCTAGCGGGGATATGGGCCCTTTCAGCTACACGGAGGTTGCTAATAACGTGCAGAAAGAGGAGACAGTCCTCAACATCCAGTTTGTGCTGCTGGACTGCTCGCACCTCAAGTTCTCGCTGGTGCAGCACTGCAATGAGTGGCAGAACAAGTTCACGACTCTGCTCAAGGAGATGGCAGCCCGGCGCCTCCTGGAGCTGCACACCTACCTGAAGGAGAACTCAGAGAAGTATGAGCTTGGGCGCCCAACTCAGGCGTGGGGAGGGCAGGCCCTGTCCTTTCCACTTACCAGCACTCTCTTTGCCTGCCTTCAGAATCAGCCACCCTCCCCAGACGCTGGAGGAACTGGGGGTCAGTTTGCAACTCATGGATACCCTGCAGCATGACCTGCCCAATCTGGAGACCCAGATCCCTCCCATACATGAGCAATTTGCCATTCTTGAGAAGTATGAGGTGCCAGTTCAGGACAGTGTGAGTTCCAGTGGTGTTTGGTCCACCCAATCCGGGTCTTCCCAGCATTAGATTGTAGGGGAAGCGGACTCCCTATGTTGTAGCCCTTGTGCTATCAGGTGGGAGAGCTGAGAAGTGAGTGGGGGAGAAGGCACAGGATTCAAAAGCCTCTGAGAGCCAAAGCAAACTCAAATGATATTTTGAGTCAGCTTATGGATTTCTTATAGGCCCTGCAACTCATTGCTTGATTCTTTGGGCCTCATTGAGTGTAGAACTTGGCCACAGACTCTGGTCCAGAGGATCAGAAAAGAGTCCTTAAAAGCATTGGTGAGAAGGACAGACCTGCTTGTGCGTCATCCTGCCCTCTTTGATGTCCCCAGGTACTGGAGATGCTGGACAGTCTCAATGGGGAGTGGGTCATCTTCCAACAAACTCTCTTGGACAGTGAACAAATGCTGAAGAAACACAAGGAGAAGTTCAAGACAGGCCTTATTCACTCAGCTGATGATTTCAAGAAGAAAGCACATAATCTTCTGGAAGAATTTGAATTCAAAGGTACCACTTTCTCAACCTCTCCCCCTTCTTTACCTTTGTTTTGGACCCAGTCTTTGAAAGTCCTGAGGAGGTGTGAACAGGATGAGCGGAGGAGGGATGGTGCTGGGGAAGGAAAGAGCTGTAGCGCTTTTCTCAGCAATGTGCCTGTTGTCACTCATTTTTGGTTGGAAGGTAGCAGCCCACAACATTTCCAGTGTACGACTTCCCATGTCCCTGTTTCTGATTCTAGAGCCGTGTTTAGTAGTTTCTGCTAAGATTAACCATCATTCTTTCAATGCATTCCCTCCTATTTTCCATCCCTTCCCTCTCTTGTGGGAAGAGAGAAGGGAGATTTGTCCACAAAGAGGTAGGAGAGCTATGATGGTCCTTTCAGGGGGCCATGGCCTCGAATGGGAATCTGAGCTTCATCTTGGATTTGCCACAGGCCCCTTCACCAGTAATGTGGGACATCAGGCTGCTCTAGAGCAGATTGCACAAGTGCGGGCCATGCTGAATGCCATGCGAGAAGAAGAGAACATTCTCCGTGCCAACTTGGGCATCTTCAAGATCGAGCAGCCAGTCTCCAAGGACCTGCAGAACCTGGAGAAGGTGGTGTGCTGAGCGAGGGCCTCGTGGTAACCAAGGATAGGGAGCTGGGGACAGGAGAATGGGTCCCAAGGGCCTGGAAAAACAGCTGGGACCAGGAAAATGGGTGCGCAAGGAGCTTTTTAAAAATATTGAGGTAAAATTCAGATTACAAAATAACCTTTTTAAAGTGAACAATTCAGTGGCATTTAGTACATTCACAATGTTGTGTAACCATCACCTCTAGTTCCAAAATATTTTCATCACCCCAAAAAGAAACCCTGTACCCGTTAGCAGTCATTCCCCATCCCTTCTGCCCCCAGCCCCTGTCAACCATTAATCTGTTTTCTGTGTATATGGATCTACTTATTCTGAACATTTCATATAAATGGAATCATGCAATATATGGCCTTTTGTAGCTGACTTCTTTCACTTAGCATAATGTTTTCAAGGTTCATCCATGTTGTAGCATGTATCAGTACTTCATTCCTTTTTATGGCTGAATAATATTCCGTTGTATGGATTTACCACATTTTGTTTATCCATTAACCAGTCAATGGACATTTGGGTTGTTTCCACCTTTATTTGAGTGGTATTGTGAGTAGTGCTGCTATGAATATGTGTGTACTTGTATTTGTTTGAGTCCCTATTCCCAACTCTTATGAGTATGTTTGTAGGAGTGGAATCCTTGGATCATATGGTAATTCTGTGTTTAACTTTTTGAGGAAACCAGCAAGGTATTTTCCACAGCAGCTGCACCATTTTACACTCCCACTAGCCATGTATGAGGGTTCCTATTTCTCCAGATCCTTGCCAACACTTATTTTCCTTTTTTTTTTTTTCATTTTAGCCATCCTAGTGGGTGTGAAGTATCTCATCAAGGTTTTGATTTGCATGTCCCTACTGACTAATGTTGCTGAGGATATTTTCATGTGCTTCTTACTTGAGGAGCTCTTAAGGCAAGAGAGTGGGGAAAAAAATGTGAACCGAGGAGGCAGCTCTGTTTTCTGGAGGGAAAAGCTTCTCAGACTGAAAGGAGCAAAGGACTCGAGTGTTTGTCAGGGAGGAAGAGGGCAAGAGTCAGTGACTTAACACATCTTTCTGCTCTTGGCCATGAAGGAACTGGATGCACTCCAGCAAGTCTGGGAGATCACACGGGACTGGGAGGAGAACTGGAACCAGTGGAAGATTGGCCAGTTCCTGACCCTGCAGACGGAGGCCATGGAGACTATGGCCCATGGGCTATTTCGTCGCCTCGTAAGACTAGCCAAAGAGTTTAAGGTGTGTGGGGAAAGGAGTGGGGGACTGAAGACAAGCCAGTTGAGGAAGGGGGACTGTGCAGGAGGACCATCAGGTCTTCTGATGTCTCCCACTTTTGCTTAGGACCGAAACTGGGAAATTATTGAAACCACTCGTTCCAAAATAGAGCAGTTCAAGAGGACCATGCCTCTCATCTCGGACCTGCGAAACCCTGCCCTGCGAGAGAGGTGAGGCATCTCCTCCTTCCTGGGGGCCACCATCTGGCCTGTGCCATCGCCTGGTGCTTTCAGTTGTCCCCTCCATGGCATTCATAGCTCTCTCTGCCCCTCTGTCCCCAAACACGGCATTGAAGAAGGCTTCACCAGAGCTGCCACTGTCCTCTGTTTCTCACACTGTCCTGGGTTTGCAGCCTTCCTGGCTCCTTCTCTGCCTCCTTCCCCTCTGTCTCCCCTCACTGTATGTTGTCTGTATAGTGAAGCTTTGTGTCTTCTGTCATACAAAAGCTTTTATTTTGATGTAGCCAAAAGTATACCTTTCTTCCTTTATGAGTTTTGCTTTTGTGCCTTGTTTAAGAAGACCTCCCTTACCCCAGAGTTATAAATGCATTCTCTCCATACTTTCTTCTAATATTTTCTAATTTTGTTTTTCAAGTTTAACTCTTTTAATGCATCTGGAATTTATTACATGATAGAAGATGGCTTTGAAACCACTAAGGATAGAATAAACTATTTTATAAATGGTGTTTTAATAATTATCTATCCATCCATTTAGGAGAAAATAATTTTACTTCTTTTGCATTGCCTCCAGTATAATGTTTCTGGCAATGCTTCACCATTAAATATTATGTGATTAAGTATAATCTAACCACTTTATTTGCTTAAGCTACTTAACTTCTCTAAGCCTCAGTTTCTTCACCTATAAATGGAATGACAATAATTCCTCATTTATAGAGTGGTTGTGAGAAATAAATGAGATGTTTTATGTAAAGCACCTAGCCCAGTGCATAATCTATAGTAAACTTGCAATAATCCGTCTTAACTCCCTCTCTAAGAAACAACACCTCAATCTCTGTATTCTCCACAGTGCTGAAGATTGTAGCTAAGAGCCTATTTAGTAAATATGTGTTGAATCATGAATTAATAAATACATGGAATCATAATATCCTGATGGGAGAAAGCCTGAGAGTGATGCTAATACCTTCCAGTAGGCCCTGGTGTCTGGCCTCCTGATCCGACCTTCTGTCTCTGGCTACAGGCACTGGGATCAGGTCAGGAATGAGATCCAACGGGATTTTGATCAGGAATCTGAAAGCTTCACTTTGGAGCAGATTGTGGAGCTTGGGATGGATCAGCACGTGGAGAAAATTGGAGAGATCTCTGCCTCAGCAACGAAAGAGCTGGCTATAGAGTTGGTACGACAGAATCCTCTCCCACACTCCCGCATTTCCTATGCCTCCTGGAGCAAAGGCTTCCAGCTTTTCATCATCTGATGGCCCCTCCCAGCTCCTCTTTCCCTTGGAGATTAAATACCTGATTGCTCTGTCCCCAATTTCTTTCCACAGGCATTACAAAACATTGCCAAGACCTGGGATGTGATTCAACTAGATATAATACCCTACAAGGATAAGGGCCATCACCGACTCAGGTAGAGAGGGTCTCAAGGATCTAGGAGAGGGGGAGGGCTGTGTGACCTGGGCTGAGGAGTGGGACTGAGGCTTCACAGATGAGGATGGACTATGATTTTGACACCTTCCACCCCAGAGGTACAGAAGAAGTATTCCAGGCACTGGAAGATAACCAAGTGGCTCTGTCTACCATGAAGGCATCTCGTTTTGTCAAGGCCTTTGAGAAGGATGTGGACCACTGGGAACGCTGCCTCTCCCTCATTTTGGAAGTTATTGAGATGATCCTGACAGTGCAGCGTCAGTGGATGTACCTAGAGGTCAGGATTCACTCCCTGAGCTCTTCCTACATCCTGTTTTTACTCCTTTATTTGAGTAGGACCTAGATATTTGCCTTGTTAGCAGCCTCATTTTCCCACCTCTAAAGACATTCTTTATCTAGGACCCAAGCATCTGACTCTTAGTTATTACCTCTCCTATTCAGTTTCCTCCCTGAAAAGCCTTTGTTCTTCCATTTTCTCCTTGGACCCAGGTGCCTGGCCTCCCAGCCCCAACTTTCCTTCTAGAACTTGAGCATCTTGCCCTTTGATTCTGATGCTCCTTATCTTCTACTCAACTGTCATTGCTGGTCTGGGGACAGGGAACAGAGTGTGGAGAGTATGAGAAACAGCCTCTCACTGCAATTCTTGGCCCTGCAGAATATCTTCCTAGGGGAGGACATCCGCAAGCAGTTGCCCCATGAATCTACCTTATTTGACCAGGTCAACAGCAACTGGAAATCCATCATGGACCGTATGAACAAGGACAGCAATGCTCTCCGGAGCACCCACTATCCAGGTCTGAGCTCCATGGCCACGTGCTTCATTTACTGAAAGACTGACTGTTGTACCTGGCTTTCATACCATCATCATCGCCTCTTCCAAGCATTAAATAATAGTTTAGTAGTAAATTAAATTCAACAGATGTTTGAGTGGAGTATGATGTAGTGGTTAAGAGAATGGGATATGGAATCAGACAGACTTGAGTTCAAAATCTGACTGCTGCCTTCCTGATTGTGTGCTCTGGGGCAGCCTGCTTCCTCCGTACTACAGTTTCTCACCTGTAATAGGGGTGTTAATGATAGCTAGTTCTCAGGGCTTTTGTAAGTGTTCTAAGGGAGTATGTAACACTCAGTACAGTGTCTGGCATAAAGTTAGTGCTCACCTAATAGCTCTGTGCCTCAAGAAGCCCTTGCTGAGGCCTTACTCTTCTTCTCTAGCTGATTCATTCAATGAGATAATGGAGGTAAATGAGATAATGCAAATAAAGCACTTATCACATTAAATGGCACAGAGTAAACCCTTGGTTACTATTAGCTATTGTTATTATTACCTTGACTTTAATTGGTTTATCATATTAACTAGTTTTTATTGTAGACACTTTGGTAAGCATGGGGATAGGGTAAGGGGATGGGGGAGAGATGTACACATAATGAGGCCTGGTTGCTTATGGTAGATTAGGGTAGAGAATCAGTAGGTCAAGTTTGGCAATGGGCACCTAAAATGAGTGTCCTGAGGAGAAGAATTCTGGCAGGGGGTACAGAGGACTTCTTTATTTTGCCTAGGGCCCGTCTAATGATTCTTTATGTTCCCAAGAACTCTGAGTATACACGTCAAAAAAACATAGTTTTACTTATTCTGATAAAATGTAAGTATTAGGTTATGCAAAGTTGAGTGACAACATGCATTTTTTAGAAATATTTGAGATAACTGACAAAATTAAATTTTGTAACAATTTATAAGCAAAGCCATAAAAACAACTATCCCTCTGTTGAACACACAGAACAAATCCATCTTGTCCACTGCTACTGAGTCTCCCTGTGGTCTCCAGGGGCCACACAGGAGTCACTCAAAGGCTCTAACAGCCCATAGACTCTGTACTTGAAGGCCTGCGGGTCACTTGAGGTCAGATTCCAGGACATCCATACTTTCTTCAGAAAGTAGAAACTGGGAAGACAAGGGCATAAACCTAAAGCTTGGAGGAAACTAAGATTATCAAGAACATACAAATGTGAACACATTTTATTTAATATCTCGAATTGTTCTTTGAGGTGGATCTTATTACCATTTTACAAAGAGGTGGTAGTTCACTGAGGTTAATTGACATGCTGAAAAGTGAAAGAGCTGTGATTTGAATGGCCATCTTCTGTCTCTCTGTGTAGTGCTCTTTTTGCTATGTCATGAGGGACACTGGCAGCCCCAGTGGTTGTGGCAGACCTCTTTCATTGTGTGTCTGTGATATGTATTTAAATCTCATGATTTAACCTGTTGGATTCTGTATGTGCAGAACAATCTCTAATTTTCAGAAGCTTTTGGGATGACAAGCAGATCCCCAAGTTCTTTGGTGGAATGGGACTGTTGTTCCAAAGACTGATGGGAGATGTAGTTATATTAATGGGATCATATATGACGTATAATTAATGTATAATGTATAACATGTATAATGTCATATAATGAATACTTAATAATTAATTAATGAAGAGAATGGGATAAGCATGATAGAGTGACTGGGGACACTTTTCTGCTTCCAAAAACCATTATGGCAATCTGTACCCCAACATTTAAGAGCTAGCAAAGTGGATATAGTTGGAGATTCTAGATCTACTCAGGGCAATGGTAAAAGGGCCATCAAATGTCATTCATTGCTCTTCTTCCCAGGCCTCCTGGACATATTGATAGAAATGAACACAATCCTAGAAGACATTCAGAAGTCTCTGGATATGTATTTGGAGACCAAGCGCCATATTTTCCCCCGCTTCTACTTCTTGTCCAATGATGACCTCCTGGAGATTCTGGGCCAGTCCCGCAACCCAGAGGCTGTGCAGCCACACCTCAAGAAATGCTTTGACAACATCAAATTGCTGAGAATGCAGAAGGTCAATAGAGGTGGCCATGAGGGGATGGAGGGCAGAGGAGGGATGGTGATGTCAAGGTATTTAAGGCCTTGGAGGAGATCATGCCCTCCCAACAGAAGAGGGATATTAATGATTCTGAATTATCTGGGATAGAACTTTTTAGAATTGGTAATATTGAGGGGAGGAGAGATAAGCAAAAATTACCCACGAAGGGCTCAAATACCTTCTAGGTTAATACCAGGAGTGGGCAGGCCAGGCCAGTAATAGCTTCTTGTTTCCACAGCTCGGGGGGCCCAGCAGCAAATGGGAAGCTGTGGGAATGTTCTCAGGTGACGGCGAGTATATTGATTTCCTCCACACAGTACTTTTAGAAGGGCCTGTGGAGGTGAGTTGTGGCAAGGGTCTAAGAATCAAGCTGATTCTTCTTTCTATTAGAAAGTTTGCTTGGCTCTGTGAGGAGAGAACCTCTCTGTGAGGGGACATTAGTCACTTTTTGCCCTCCCACCTGCCATTCCTGAAAATTCTAACCCCTACCCTCAACCTGAAAGTCAGACAGTCTGCCCCATAGCCTCCATTTCCTTAGGGACCCAAGCCAGCTGCTGCCCGGTTCCTGCTTTTCTCTTGTGCCCAAAGTCCTGAAGTCCTGTTTCCTAACCACCTTCCCTCTGGGGAGTCTTGTCTCTGTCCCTGAGGCTGAGCCATTCTGTTCTCTCACCTCCCTCCAGTCTTGGCTTGGAGATGTGGAGCGGACCATGAAGGTGACCCTACGAGACCTTCTCCGGAACTGCCGCCTGGCCCTCAAGAAGTTTCTTAACAAGAGGGACAAATGGGTGAAGGAGTGGGCTGGCCAGGTGAGCTGAGGTCAATAGAAATGAGGGAACAAGAAAGACAGAGCTGAAAGGGAGCAGCATGTGTAAAGACAGAGTCTTGAGTCTCACAAAACGCAGGTTTCTTGCCCCTGTTCTGGGCTGTGGCCCTGGACCCCTGCATGCTGGACCCTTAGCTCCTGACCTTAGGCCTGTGCCTCATCCTTCAGAGCGGACTAGGCATATTGAGAGAGGAATACACCTGGTCCTGGAGGAAGCTGGGATTTGGGAGCTAGGCTGTGTGGGCGGCTAGAGTTCAGGGCTTTGGAATACAGCCTCCACACTTGCCTCAGGTGGTGATCACTGCCAGTCAGATCCAGTGGACAGCTGACGTCACCAAGTGCCTGCTGACAGCTAAGGAGCGAGGAGACAAGAAAATCCTCAAGGTCATGAAGAAGAAGCAGGTGGGGAACCCTATAAGTATGGGATAGGCCTGGAATTAGAGTTGGAGGGAGAGAGGTGATAAAGGGGAGTCAGAATTAGAGGTGAGCTGGTGGGAAAGGGTCAGAATGTGGGTGCTTTATGGTAGAAGTCCAATGAGGAAAGATTGGATGGATTAGAAGTGCGTTTTCCTGTGCTGATGTTGGGGGTCAGAAGTTACAGCGGGGTTGGGATTAGCCTTGGGGTTGAAAGTTGTGTTAGGCTGGGATGAGGTGTGATTGGGATTTGGTTGCACTTCTCCATCCACTCTCTTCCCCTACCGCCTCATTCCACAGGTGTCAATACTGAATAAGTATTCAGAAGCTATCAGAGGGAACTTGACCAAGATCATGCGGCTTAAAATCGTGGCTCTGGTGACGATAGAAATTCATGCCCGGGATGTGTTGGAGAAGCTTTATAAGAGTGGCCTTATGGATGTCAATTCCTTTGACTGGCTCAGCCAACTGCGCTTCTACTGGGAGAAGGTGCAGATGGGCCAGCTCCCCACTCTCATACCCTAAACGCAATCCTAATGATTTAATTAAACTCATGCTCTCTAAGTACAGTAATATCCTAACCCAACCCTTAGTGCTATCACAGTACCCTAATCCAGTTCTTAACTCTATCTCAAATCTCCCAAATCAGGAGTGGCAAATCATTTTTCCAGTCAGTGCTCACTATGGGTGTCACTTTACTGGGACTCAGAAAGACACCAGGCAGCTGCTGCAATGGATTGGGGTGGACATGCAATATGAAACCCATCTTCTATCTCGGCCATAAATCCTTCCGTCCTTCTAACTCTAAACTGAACCCCTAATCTAACTGCAACCTCCCTGCCACCTCCAGTCCTCCTCTCCATCATTGCCTCAGCTCTAACTCTTCCTCCAAGCCCACCTCTCTCTTACTCTGCCCTGTTTCCCCAGGATCTCGACGACTGTATGATCCGCCAGACCAACACACAATTCCAGTATGGTTATGAGTACTTGGGTAACTCTGGCCGGCTTGTCATCACCCCCCTGACAGACAGGTCGGCTGTTTGGGATGAACAAGGTGGTTGGTGTGGGGGCAGCAAATGCTGAATGAAGGCTTCCAGAAGTCTGACTTGAGTCCTGTCCTCAATTCTCAGGTGTTACATGACACTGACCACAGCATTGCACCTGCATCGAGGGGGCTCCCCCAAAGGTCCTGCTGGCACGGGAAAGACCGAGACCGTCAAGGACCTGGGCAAGGCCCTTGGCATATATGTCATCGTGGTCAACTGTTCCGAGGGCCTGGACTATAAGTCCATGGGCCGAATGTACTCAGGACTGGCCCAGGTCAGTATCCTGCCACCCTGTCCCAGAGGCCCCTTAAATATCTTTTAGTCCCAGAAAATCATCTGAAACCCACATCTGCTTCAGTGCTTTGTAACTTACAACATTCATCACCCCAGTTAGTTTTTATAATTGAGGAAGTCCCTGTACCTCCCTGAGCTTCACTTTGCTTATTTGTCATATCAGAAAATTACGTAAGGATTAAATAAGATAATGCATGTAAACTGGTGCATAATAGGCACTCAGTGCTCACAAGTTCCCTCTCCCAGTCTCTCTCCAACTCACACCTTTTCTAGCATTCCCCCAGATTGTCCCTGTGTGATGGAAAGTTCTGGCCGGAAACTACAACAGTGCTACGCTAGCCCCACCCCACTGCCCCCTGCCACTTTTTGGAGGCCGCCATACCTATCAAAACATTTCAGGAAGGATATGTTAGTCACAGTTTCTAGTTTCTCCCAGTCTAGGGGTACTCCTCTTGCTCCCAGCAGCTCTGTCTCCCACCCTACAGACAGGGGCCTGGGGCTGCTTTGATGAGTTTAACCGCATCAACATCGAGGTGCTGTCGGTGGTGGCCCAGCAGATCCTGTCGATCCTATCCGCCCTGGCTGCCAGCCTCACCCGCTTCCATTTTGAGGGCTTTGAAATAAACCTGGTGTGGTCCTGTGGGATCTTCATCACCATGAATCCTGGTAAGGGCCAGGGAGTAGATGGGGCTCCTGGGGGAACAACTGAGTGTCCAGGGCAAATAACTGTGCATCCTCCCCTTCCCCCTTCCAAGCCAGTGTATTTAGCCAAGTGAAATGTGGCTAAGACAACAAAGTGTGAGAGAAGGATAAACATACAACTTTCTGGGAGAAGGGGAGGCAATCTTACTATTCTCTAAAGGGATTAATAACCACTTATGTGTATATATATATAGCCCTAGTCTTTTAAGGTACTTAGCTATCTTCTCCCATTGGGCTAGCTCCCAGAGTGCTGGTCTGTCTGCCATGCCTTTTGCAGAATGAGAGACTCTCCCCAAAGTGCAGGGCCTTGGGTCTCTCATTGCTGTTCCCTAGGAACAGCACTGGGGGAAGGGTCTAGGAGAAAACAGGAAAGGTTTGGGTACTGAAAGAATCAGAGAAACAGCTGTGATTTCTATTAGGACTGATGTGAGTTATACATGGAACTTGGAGAAATGGGAAATTTACAGCTCTGCCATTTGAGTTTGAAACAGGGCCACACAGAAAGTAAGGAAAGGACCAGAGATAGGGAAGAAGAGCAAAGTGGTACAGGAAGAGCCAGGGCTGAGATGAGAAAGGAAGAGATCTTGGAGTTGGAGATGGGGAGAAAGTTAGGGATGGAGCTAGGGTTGGAGAACACGGGATTGATTGGGAAGTGGGCCCTTGGGAAGCAGTATGGATTCTAAATAAATGGCATTGTTTTCTAGGCTATGCTGGTCGCACAGAGCTTCCTGATAATCTTAAATCCATGTTCCGTCCAATAGCCATGGTGGTGCCTGATTCTACTCTTATTGCAGAAATCATTCTCTTTGGGGAGGGCTTTGGCAACTGCAAGGTATTCCGATAATCTCTTTTCTCTAATTATTTTATTTCCCTTTCATGGTTATTCCCTGGACAGACCAACTCCCTGAAGGCCTCACAATCAGCTTATCCTACAAAGAATGTATACTGCTGTCTGTAGGATATGGAAGCAGAAGAATTCAGAGGAGGGAGGTCTCCCCTCTCTGATGCCACTAATCCATGATGGCACGATTCACAAGATCTTCTCTTTAGGATTGCCCATAGAGCACCTCCTAGCTGTTTCAAATCCCAGGACCTAGCTTCCTATATCCATAACTGTCCCTAGATGAAGCACAGGGATTTGTGGGGAGACAGGTTGTTTCCTCCTCTGTTTCGGTTCCCCAGATTCTGGCCAAGAAGGTATACACGCTTTACTCGCTGGCTGTGCAGCAGCTCTCCAGACAGGACCATTATGACTTCGGCCTGCGTGCCCTCACCTCCCTTCTGCGCTATGCTGGCAAGAAGCGCCGCCTGCAGCCAGATCTGTCTGATGAAGAGGTAGATCAAGGACACAGCCCTTGGACCTTAACCTCCACTGTCACTGGTCCTATGCATCTTCACTCAAGTTTTTGAGATCCTTTCTTTCCCCAGATTGGGATTCCCACCCTTCTGCCTATCTATCGTATTGTTAAAGACTAGCTCAGGTGTAGCCATTGTTCTTGGCTCTTGTCTCTCACCCCTTTGGAGAGGAAGGCCCTAGTGTGTACCAGGCCCTGGCTTCTCAAGCCTGAGTCTCTGTCTTTTCCCGTTTAGGTGTTGCTTCTCTCAATGAGAGATATGAACATTGCCAAGCTAACTTCAGTCGACGTGCCACTATTCAATGCCATCGTGCAAGATCTATTCCCCAGCATTGAGCTGCCTGTCATTGACTATGGCAAGGTATTTGTTCTTTAATACCCTTCCTGACAATCTGTGTGAATGTGGGTCCAGGAACAGGACATTTGGTTTCCAGACCTTGTTCTGCTATTCACGAGGCTGTGACTTTTTGCAAGACAGTTGGCCTCTCTTAGGCCAACTTATCTATAAAATGATATAGACCTATTCAAGCGTTCTACTCTCCCACCACAACTCCCTACCTCTCGACTCACCAGCTCAAGTGCTTCCACTCATCAGTTCTTTGACTTTATTGAGCTCTCTCATCCATTGCCCTTTCTACTTTCTTTATACCAATCAACCCTTTCCTGCCTCTACTTCTCTCCTCATTCAGGGATTTTTGAGAAGAGACTGCTAGGAACTGTTTGATATGTGAGAGCAGTGGAATGGAAGGGGTGGAGGAGGAAGATTTTAGAAAGTATAGAAATTTCCTTCTCTGGCAGTATGGTAGTTTAGGTACACTGAATGATCCTTTCAGTTGAAACCACTAAAATACTGGATAAAAAATATAAAAATACATCTTTGTAAATGCATTGCTATGCTGGCAAGAAAGAAGGAATTCTGGGATGAGGAGGGAGAGTAAAAGCAGAGAGATAAGTGAGTGCCAAAGCTGGCTTTCTTCCTGAAAATTTTTGTTGAATTTAAGGCACTGGGGATAGGAGATAAAGCAGCCCAAGTTTGGAGGTACAGTAAAAAACCCAGTCCTGCATAAATTGCAGTCCACAAGGGAAACATCCTCAGTAAATAGGAAAATGAGAAACCCACCATTGAGAAGGGTCCATACAGTAAAGAAACTTGCTTGTCTTGACCTCCAGTGATGGGAGGAGGGGACAAAATCTCCTTTGAGATTTCCTAACCACAAGCCACTCATGTGGTCCATGGTCATAATTTATTCTACTGTGTAATCCCCCAAAATCTCAAATTTAGAAGTTAATTTTAAGTAGTTCCAGGTTGTTAGTGCTTCCCCCAGGTGACTGGCAGAAGCAAATGCAAATTATTTCTGGAAGATTGAAACTTCAACTTAAGCCTCAAAGAATTCTCATAAAAGTCCAAGATAAAAGTCCAAGAAAATGAGCAGCTCCTGGTCAAAATTCACAAAACACACAAGAAAATGAGACATCATGAATGGAAGGCTGAAGAATAACAGAATAGCTGAATTAGATCCACAAAGACTTCAGATATTGAAAATAATCAGCACAGAATTAAAAAATAACTAAATTAATATGTTTAAAAAATAAAAGAGAAGCTTGAAACTATGAGTCAGGACCAAGAGACTTCTAAACAAAATAGATTTGAAAAGAACCAATAGAATTTCTGTTAATGAAGAAATGTTATAATTGAAATTAAAAACAACAACAACAGGACTTCCAGGTAAAGAAGGTGGATTAAAAACAATTTTGTTTCCTTTTGAGAATCCATTACAACTACTCTAAAGAGATACCCAAAAGGATGGGGAGAATGGAAGAGGAGATAACGACAAAAATTTTCGACATAGGAAACAAATGAATAAGTTGTGACTTACTTAGCAAACCTGGGAGGCCTGGACGTGGGGGAAATTGAAAGGCAATTCTAAAAGGCTAAGCATTTGTGGAATTAGGTACCTCTGTTAGTAGGGAGTAGTGGGAAGAGTAAAGGAGGTGTAGCTAAAACAAGGAGGAGTGGAGGCAAACTGTCTTGGAAGCCGTTAGATCTCTAGATCTCCCCTTCTCTTTGACCCTGGATGACCATGCCTCTCCCACTTTGGCAGAAGACTAGAGTGTAAAATAGCAGTCTCTGGTCTGGGGGATACTGGGTATAGTTGAAAGCAGGAGTAAACTCTATTAAAAATGAGGGTTAAGTGAATGTTTACACATTAAATGCTGAAGCCTTAGTCTTCTTTCATCTCTGCTCCCAGAATTCAGCAGCCAGAGAGGAAATTGGAAGCATTCTCTCTGGGGAATCTGTCTGGCCCAAGAGGAATAACCAAAACATCGACAATGGAAACTTCCCAACGAAAGTCCCAGATAAATTATCTATAGGGACACTTGCAGTCTCACAGACTCACAGCCCCACTCACACACTCAGAGCTTCCATTCAGCTTTTTAGTCCTCAACCCTTGTATATGAGCAGAAAACCAAGACTCACCACACATCTGAGAAAAGACTCTAACATGAAAGCAGCCAAAACAAATAGGAAAAAGAAAATTGGAGAAAATAGATAATGCAGAGAGAAAAAAAGTTTTTAAAAAAAATCTATCATTAGTATTCTTAAAGAGAAGATTAAGATATTGTATCCATGAAATACTAATGAAATGCTATTAAGAAAGATATATTCCATAGGATAGAGCAGGCAAAGGGGGAAAGAGATGAGATTTAAGAGTCCGTCTAGGAAAGACAATATCCAAATAATAGGAGTTCCAAGAAGTAGAAACAGAGAAAATGGAGGGGGGCAGGATGAATAATGAAACAATTCAAGAAGAATCCCCAGAACTGAAGGATCTCTTTCCAAAATGGAAGGATCCATAAGTGCATGACACATGGATAAAATAAATCATTACCAAGGCCATCATTGCGAAATTTTAAAACACCGGGAAAAGGATAGGATTTAACAAGCCTCCAAATAGGGAGGAAAAAAAGAGAGGTGACATGCAAAAAAACAAGAATTATAATGTTGGACTTCTCAATAGCAATATTGAATCTATAAACAATGGAGCAGCCTTCAACATTCTGAGGGAAAATTATTTCCAAGCTCAAATTCTATACCCAGCTAACCTGTCATGTAGGAGGCTAGCTCAGAGACATTTCAGACATGCAGACTCTCAAAGAAAAAACCACCTCCAATATATCCTTTCTTAGAAAGCTACTAGAGAATATGCTCTCCTAAAATGTGGGAGCGTACCAAGAAAAAGGAAAATACAGGACACAGGATGATGGTTATGCACCAGACAAAAACAGAAGCCAATCCAGATTGGAGCAAATCTGAAGGCTTCAGGAAGACTTCTTTTTCCCTCCCCCCGCAAAGCCCCAGTAGATAGTTGTATGTCATAGTTGCACATCCTTCTAGTTGCTGTATGTATGCAGCCTCAGCATGGCCAGAAAAGCGGTGCGTTGGTGCATGCCTGGGATCTGAACCCCGGCCGCCAGTAGCAGAGCACACACACTTAACCGCTAAGCCACAGGGCCGGCCCTAGGAAGACTTCTTTAAGAAGAAGAAATTGATACTTGATGTGTATAAATGTTTTGAGAGATTTAGTCAACTGGCAAAGTTTGGAGTTGCATAGAGATACGTACATTAAAAACTAAGCAAATAAAAACTACAGCAACTATTAGCTCCTAGGGAAAACAAAAAAGTTATGCAGAAAAGGAAAAAGAATCATACATTGAATAGTACACATTGTTATACTAATATTGAATAGTGTTTACAAGAGACACACCAAAAACATAAAGACAAAGCGTTGCAAGTCAAAGAATAGAAAAAGATAAATCAGGCAAATACTAATCAAAAGAAAACTGGGATAGCAATAACAGACAACATCAATTTTAAGGCAAAAAGCATTGCTAGAAATAAAGAGGGTCACTTCATAATAATAAAAGGTTCAGTTCACCAGGAAGTTATAATAATTCTAAATTTGGATGCACCTAATAATATAGCCTGAAAATAAATAGGGCAAAATTTTGCATAATTATAAGGAGAAATAGACAAATCTACTATCATAGCGGAGATCTTATCATCTCTCAGTGAGTGATAGACCAAGCAGACTAAAAATCAGTTAGAATATAAAAGATTTGAACAACACAATCTTGATTTAATAGACATCTATAGCAATTGCACTCAATAACTGAAGAATAACCATTTTTTTAAAGCACTCATAGAATATTTAGGAAAAGCGACGATGTAAAGGCCACAAATCTGCCTCAAAAATTTCAAAGGAATTTATTTAGAACACATTTTCTGATCACAATGGTAACTCTACTGATATCAGGCAAAGTAGAGTTTATGGTAAAGGGCGACATTTAATAATGACAAAAGTGCCAATGCACAGAAAGACAACAATTCTAAATTTGTATGCACTTATAGCTACAAAATACATAAAACAAAATTGACAGAACTAAAAGAAGAAATAGATAAATCCACAACCCTAGTGAGAAATCTTGACATACTTCACTCACAAATTGATAAAGCAAGCATACCAAAAACTCCATAAAGATACAGATCTGAATGCTTTTAACAGATTTGACCTGACACATATAGAACATTGCAGGTAACAATTGCAGATACATGTTCACCTCAAGTACACATGGAACATTTACTAAAATTGACCATATGCTGGGTTATGAAGTATAAGTCTCATAAATTTAAAATGATTGAAATTATACAGAGGATGATCTCTGACCACAATAGATTAAGCTAGAAATCAATAACAAAATAGAAAAAGCCTGAATATTTTGAAATTAGGCAATACAATTCTACATAACTCATGGGTCAAAGAAGAAAGTAGAGAATATTTTAAACTGAATAAATACAAATTGTGATGTACTAAACTTGTGGCATGATGCACACAAGCAAACATACTAATAAAACTAATTGTGAGAAGGAAGGAGATAGTAGTGGTGAGGCCTCTTAGTGGTGTTTGAGAGATACAAGTAAAGATCTTGCATCTATTTGAACTTATTTGGTTGCATTGGCTGTGTGTTTAAAAATAGCACACTATTCTGGGACTGATCCATATGGTCATGATTCTATAAGCATTACTTTTTAACTTAGGTGATGATTTGTTTAATGTCTGGCTCTCCCACTAGACTGTGAGCTCTGCAATAGGATGGACTCTGCTTTGTTCTCAGCACCCAGCACACTGCTTGGCACATTCTGTAGAGGCTTAGTAAATATTTGTTCAATAACATTAGAAAAAACATGTAGAGCTTTGTGTCAGATGTTATGTTTTATGTTAACTATCTTATCTAATACAACAGCCTTATGAGGAAAGCATCATCATTGCTCCCATTTAACAGATGAGGAAAGCGAGGCTAAGAGAAGTAACCTACTTAGGTTCACATAGCTGAAAGCTGGAGACCCAGGTTGGCTGATTCCAGAGCCCACTCTCTTAACTCTGCAGTTGGCCAGCTTCCCAGGGAATGAACAATTGCCAGAGTGCAAAGGGCCCTGGTGCCATTTTCAACAGTTTGAACATTAACTTCCCAGGCATTGAGGAGGTTTTGAAGGCCCTTTACAGGCCTAATCCTTTTTCTTCTCCTTCCTTTATTTTCCCTTCACTCAGCTGCGGGAGACCATTGAGCAGGAGATTCGAGATATGGGCCTGCAGACCACAGCATTCACCCTCACCAAGGTTATCCAGTTGTATGAAACCAAGAACTCCCGCCACTCTACCATGATCGTGGGCTGCACGGGCAGCGGCAAGACTGCCTCATGGCGAATTCTTCAGTCCTCCTTGTCCTCCCTATGCCGAGCTGGAGACCCCAACTTCAACGTTGTTAGAGTACGGAGTCAGGACCATGAAGCCAGTGGCAGAGACTTGAGTATCAGGAGGACAGTGGAGGCTGGGGCAAGAATGCGTAGATGTCAGGGAGGGCAGTGCAGACCCGGGGGGTAGGGCCTGGATCTGGGGAGGCCTGGGAGAGAGGAGAGAGAGAAGGGGCAAAAACAAATACTAGAAATAAAGGGAGGCTGGAAATAAAAGGAGATGTTTGGGATTTGTGTCCTCCAGCAGCTCAAAAACCCCTTTCTGTGTCATTTTTAGGAGTTCCCTTTGAACCCTAAGGCCCTGTCCCTTGGCGAGCTGTATGGGGAATATGACCTCAACACTAACGAATGGACAGATGGCGTCCTGTCCAGTGTCATGCGGACGGCATGTACAGGTACCCAAAGGATCAGGGGGCAGGGAGAGCAGATGCCTGAATCTCCTAAGGGGGTGGGTAGTCTGGGGATAGAAAGCTCAAATTTGGGATAAAAATGTTTGGGGGACACCGAGATACAAGCAAGCATCTGCTTGCGTCTCTGAGGAGATGAGTGGGGAGGGAGGCCTGGGTGAGAGGCTCCTGGTTTCCTTATCATCCACCTTCTACTAGATGAGAAACCCGATGAGAAGTGGATCCTTTTCGATGGCCCTGTGGACACACTGTGGATTGAGAGCATGAACTCTGTCATGGACGATAACAAAGTGTTGACCCTCATCAACGGAGAGCGCATCGCCATGCCTGAGCAGGTACAGGGGTGCGCTGACTACTGAGGCCCTGCAGGTTGGAAACTGGAGGGCCTGAGGTAGGGCTAAGGGGAAGAGCACTGGAATCCTAAGAGAAGAGTAAATTCTACGAGAGGGAGCTGAGGAGGAGGAGGATGCCTGGATTCAGGGAAACCTGTGACTGAAGAAAAAAATGCCTTGTCTACCATGGATGTTGAGAACAATTGTACTAGGAAGCCCTGTGTAGACTGAGGCAGCCCTCCTCAGCCTCATTTCCCCTGACATATGCGGGATGACCTTCACTTGTGTACCCAGGGTTATGAATTCATGGGCTGTAAAGCACACCCTTTTCCAACCACTCAAACAATGCAAGTAAGAGAGTGATTTTTCATGAGGATATCTTTGAATAAGCTCTAATTTCTTTTAAAAAGCAAATCATTTGTAAAGCTTAGATCTTTATTCATGCTGTCATACACTTAGTACTTGGTAGAGACACCTTGGGGCATCAGAGTTCTGGGTGTTTTTATTATTATTGATGGGGGCAGGGAGGAGGGAAAGATGAGATTCTGACAAAGTATATCCTTAGGTGTCTCTCCTGTTCGAAGTGGAGAACTTGGCAGTGGCCTCTCCAGCCACTGTGTCTCGCTGCGGGATGGTCTACACTGACTATGTTGATCTGGGCTGGAAGCCCTATGTTCAGTCATGGCTAGAGAAGAGGCCAAAGGTATGAAGGGAAATGAGGAGAGGGAAAGTAACCTGCGTGGCCTATGGGACACAAGAATGAATAAAGAGCCCCTTCTTATTCAACTCCAGGTTGAGGCAGAGCCCCTGCAGCGCATGTTCGAAAAGTTCATCAACAAGATGCTGACCTTCAAGAAGGACAACTGCAACGAGCCAGTGCCCCTCCCTGAATACAGTGGAATCATCTCCCTCTGCAAGCTGTACTCGGCCCTGGCCACGCCAGAGAATGGGGTAAGTGGAGACCAGAGCAGGGCCAGGGCAGGAAGGGCTCATGACCTCCCGGGGACAGCTTCAGGGAAACGGTGTGTCTGAGACACGATTTGAACACCAGGTGTGAGTGGAGCAGAGACTCCAAGGGGAGGCCTCACCAACCATGGAGGCAGCGAGGGATGTGTGTGTGTGTGTGTGTGTGTGTGTGTGTGCGCGCGCGCGCGCGCGTGCATGTGCATCCTCACTGGAAGGCCAGACTAAGAACTCTAAATTGGATATAGTACACAATGGGTCTCACTATAATTTCCTACACATATTTTGGGAGCTGAGGATAGTTCATTTGGTTCCTCATTTCTCCATCCCTTCAAAAAATAAATATTGAGTCTTGGTATACGTGAGGCCTTGGGATACCATTTCTTCTGGAAGGAGCCCTCAGCCTAATCTGATGAAGGGTTTTAGAAATTTTCAGATTAATTGATACTTAAGAAAAATTTTGTTCAGTTTATAATTATGGAGTAAGGACCAAAATTGGATATTTTCTCTTGAGATTAAATCACTGCCTAGAAATGGTTTGTATTGTTTTTAAAGACATTGCTGGATAATTAAACTGTTACTATATTAAAGTTATATAACACTTAAGATCTATAACAGTATATGTCATTCCTGGTACAGTTAATATACGTTAAAACTGTGTAGATGAACTTACAAGGTAACATATAGGAAAAGGACAATAATTTAGTGTCAGGGGCACCCAGGTGCTAAGGAAGACAGGCCAAGTCGGGGGCTCATCAGAGGGGGAAGAGCACGGATGAACAGCAGAGAGAGAGGAGGGCATTCTAGGTAAAGAAAATGGCCTTTGCATAAGTGCAGAGACATAAGAGTCAGGCCTGTGGGCGGGGTGGGGTGGAGTGGGTGGTGTTTGTGTGCAGAACTTCTTGAGTGTAGCAGAGACCCAAAGAAGAGGATAGTGAGATGTGTTGTGTGTTGGGGTGAGCTGGATTGAATATTCCAATCCAGGATTCTCGATTGAATGTGGTAAACAATAGAGTCTCAACACAATTTCTCACCTATATTTTGAGGATTGAGGATTATTCTAAGACCAAGTCCAATATTCTGGATTGGACAGCATCCTGTATATCACATTGTCTGCTGTTCTATGTATCTTAATTCAGAACCCATCTTCCAAGAGCTCCCCACTCACGGGACCTGTAGCTGTTTCACATAGTAGGTTAGAGATGATATGCTTGATGCTGAGTTAGCTGTCTGTTGGCCATTTTCCCCAAGGAAGCAGTGGAGTTTGCACAGCCCGTGTGTTCCACAGACCCTATCAAAGAACACCATCTGCTACGTGCCCTCTGGGTGGGGGGTTTGAGCATGAGCAGAAAATGCTGTTTCTGCTATTAAGTTGATACATTTTAAATTTTAATTTTTAATCACACAAGTGATAGTTGAATCTAGTTTCCTTTCTACAAGTTAGAACTTTTTTATAAAACAAAAGTCCTTTTTGATCATCTCTGTCCTTCCAATTCTGATCTACTCCCCCCTATACACAAGTAACTACATACTGGAGTATGTTTGTATGTGTCATTACGGACCTTTTTTAAATATATATTTACATATAAGCCCATAAGTATCCATAGAAAATGTGATATTTAAAAAATGTATCATGCTATATGCCACATTTGCAATATGCTTATTAAATCAGCAATGTGTTCTTGAGTTCCATATTGCTACACATAGGTTAATTTCATTGCTTTTAGCTGCTATATATTATTCCACTATAGAACAGGACATTTTATTTTTCTGTCCCTCTACTGGTGGACATTTAGGTCATCTCCAGTTTTTTGCAGTTACAAAGAAGTCACCACGGATGTCCCTGGGCCTGTCTCCTTGAGCACCCATGGGCACTTCTTCAGAGTAGACATGGTGTTGCTGGATCTCTGCTATGTCTTTATTTGCAACTTAGCAGAGAAGAAACTCAGGGCAACTGCTGAGCTACAAGAAGTTTCAAGTTTATCTAAATGTTTTAGATTTAGGTTTCTGTACAACCATATGGTTTTCTAAATAGAACCAGGAAAGGAGGAAAACTAAGCCTATGTGATGACCTGCCAAAATAGATCCCTCTATCTCTTCTAGATGTAGGGTATTTCCCCTTCTCTTCTTCCATCCAGGTGAACCCAGCTGATGGTGAAAACTATGTCTCCATGGTAGAGTTGACATTTGTGTTCAGCATGATCTGGTCTGTGTGTGCCTCTGTGGATGAGGAAGGCCGCAAGAAGATTGACAGTTACCTCCGAGAAATTGAGGGCTCCTTTCCCAATAAGGTCAGGGCCTTCAAACCCACTTATCCTGTTTTTCCAGAACCCACCAGTATCCCAGATCCTTAGACTCTGCTTGAGTTTCAGCCTGCCAACCCAGCTCTCTTTCTTCTACCCAGTGGTCTGTGAGCACTTTTTCTGGGTTGGGGAGAACTAACGGAAGGATTTGGTAACACATTCTCTCCTTAGGACACGGTGTACGAGTATTTTGTGGACCCCAAGATGAGGAGTTGGACATCATTTGAGGATAAGCTCCCTAAGAGCTGGCGCTACCCTCCAAAGTGAGGGCAGGGCCTGGGGGGGTGGGTTGGGCTTGGGGCTGTGGTTGGTGGGAGGTGTGGAGAGGGAGCTGGGGCCTAGGAGCAAAAGTGAGCTGTGGAAAAGAGAAGGTGGATCCCAGAGCAGAGATGACTCAAGTACAGGAAATGGATCCAGAGGAAATGGGACAGGGTCCTAAAGCAGAATGCCCAATCCCCAGGCCCCACAGGAGGCAGAGTTGGTGATTAGAGATTAGTGATGCCAGAGCAAGATAAACATTGGGAGACAGAATGAAGCAGAGTTAGAAGGGAGTGGGTCACTGATCCTTGAGACACAGTTCCTTTTCTTCCCTAGTTCCCCCTTCTACAAGATCATGGTACCCACTGTCGACACTGTTCGCTACAACTACCTGGTCAGCGCCTTGGTGGCTAACCAGAATCCCGTCCTGCTGGTGGGTCCTGTGGGGACTGGAAAGACCTCCATTGCCCAGAGTGTTCTGCAGTCCTTGCCATCCAGCCAGTGGTCAGTGCTCACTGTCAACATGTCTGCACAGGTGTGTTGCAGGACCTGGGGGCCAGACCGCAAGCTCCCCATGCTCTCCCTGCCTTCTGCTTTCCCTTGGGATCCAAATGCCTGACTGACCCTCCTCTCTAACCCTGTATTTCTCTGGGGGACCCAGGCATTCATTCTGTACCTTTTTCACTAGACCACATCCAATAACGTGCAGAGCATCATTGAAAGCAGGGTGGAGAAACGAACCAAGGGTGTCTATGTGCCATTTGGGGGCAAAAGCATGATCACCTTTATGGATGACCTAAATATGCCAGCTAAGGACATGTTTGGGTCCCAGCCACCCCTGGAGCTTATTCGCCTCTGGATTGACTATGGCTTCTGGTATGATCGTATGAAGCAGACCATCAAGTACATTCGAGTAAGCATCCTGAGAATTCATTCTTCAGGCCTCTATTCCCTCCTATGATAGGCTCAGTTCCCACTCCACAGGGACCTCAGGATAGAGTCCTATGATTCTGTATTCCTCTCCACACAGGAGTGTTCTGCCTTTCTCAGGACCCAGACATCTGGCTCCTAAGTTGTCAATTCCTATTATTAACTCTCCTCATTGACCGTGCCCTGTGCTTTGTGACCAAAGGATCCCGTCCTCCAACTTCCACTCCTTTTCCAGGCCTCCATACCATGCTCTCGTGCCACCCCTGATGCCACCCAGAACTGTCTAGGTCTGTAACTCCCCTCTCCAGGCTTTCTCTGCCCCCCATTGTTACAACAACCACCTCCACGGTGTCAGTTCTCCACTCCCCAGCCAGGATCCAGGCATCCCCCTTCAGTCCTGGCTCTTCTTCCATGGGATTTGGAGCATCTTATTTGTTTCTTTTTCCTGAATTAATGGGCAGCAGCCATTCCAGCTTTATATCTGGGGTGCTCATCTATCTGGCACTCAGGGTCAAAAACTCACCTAATAATATATTCCTATGTTTCTGAGAAAGAACACACATGTGCGTGCACACACACACATGTGATATATATATTAAAAAAAAGAAAAAAGAGAGAAAGTCTAGAAGACATAATCAAATGTTGTTTTTTAACTTACCTCTCTTTTTTAATTTGGGTACATGGATTATAATGATAAAATGAAAAAAATACATTACTTTAATAATTCTAAAAAAAAATTTCCCTAATCCTTTCCTTCGCTTCACCTTTCCCTGCTCCCATTACTCCATGATTCTTCCTGCTCATTCTGTCCCCGTCCCACTTCCCGTCTGTCCCTCCATTTACTCTCTTCGGCTCCTTGTACCTCCTCCCTATTTCTGTGCCTTGCTTCATCTCTTCCTCCCACCTGTCTCTCTGCCCCGTCTTGTCTTTGCTCTCTAGGACATGTTCCTGATGGCTGCCATGGGCCCTCCTGGGGGTGGACGGACTGTCATCTCCCCAAGGCTGCAGAGTCGCTTCAACATCATCAACATGACCTTCCCCACAGTGAGGGCACATTGGGGGCTGGGGTAGGGGGACTGTAGAAGGCAAAACCATCCGTGTCCCAGAGAGGGAGAGGGCAGATCAAGGAGAGGGCTGAGGGACCCCGAGCAGAGTTGCATACAGGGTGCTATCATATACAGAGGGGAGGCCGCTGTCCATAGGAACCCTTGCTTCCCCTGAGCTAGGAGAGCTGCAGAATGAAAGTGTCACTTGCTGGCTCTGGAACATGACGCCTTGTAGTCCCAAAGGGCAGAGAATGCAGTGGCGCCCGCATAGACTAAGGAAGGTAGATCCTACAGAGCTGAGAGCTGAGAGCAGCGCCAGGATTAGGGTGAGGCGAGGAAGGCACTCAGGGGTGCAAAAAAATCCTCAGGAATCAAGATAAATAATCTTTTAATGTAATATTTTTAAAAAATGAATGCCAAAAATTTATGATGAACAAAATACCAAAATTTTAAATAAACATAAGATCAGTCCAGTACCGTGCTGAACAATATTGAGCCTGAGGCAAAGGAAAAATCAATAATGTTGTTCTCACCTTTATTTAAAATGTTGATATTTGTTCATCAGGGATATTTTGCATTGATTTTGATCTTTAAATATTGCACTAAAATTTTATTTCTCTTGATTTTGGGGGTTTTTTTGGTGCCCCCTTAAATTCTGGCCCCAAGGCGAGTGTTCTACTCTCCTCACCCTCATCCCAGCCTGGCTGAAGGGCCAGGAGCCTGAGAAAGTGAGTCTGAGGGCCTGTTTCTGGGAGTCCCAGATCATCCGAGTATTCGGCACCATGATCATCTGAGGGCCTGTTTCTAGGAGTCCCAGATCATCCGAATATTCGGCACCATGATCAATCAGAAGCTTCAGGACTTTGAGGAAGAGGTGAAGCCCATTGGGAATGTGGTGACTGAGGCCACCTTAGAAGTGTACAACACCGTGGTACAGCGCTTCCTGCCCACACCTGCCAAGATCCATTACCTCTTCAACCTTCGAGACATCTCCAAGGTGAAACTCCATCTGACCTTGCCCCTTTCATCTGGCACAGCCCCCTTGGAGGCATTTTCTTCTCCTTAAAGTAAGCCTTGGAGCTCAATAGCATCCCACATGCCCCAAAACACCCCCGTCCTAGAATGTTGCTTTCTCTGGCCTTACTTTGGAAACTTCTGGAGGAAATCTCTTGTCTCCCTCCACCCCATGAGCCACACCTCTTCCCCAGGTGTTCCAGGGCATGCTTAGAGCCAACAAGGACTTTCATGATACCAAGTCCAGCATCACACGACTCTGGATCCATGAATGTTTCAGGTGAGTTGCCGCCTCGGCCAGATCCAGGCTTCCTCAGCCTTGCCCCAAGCCCCGCCTCTACCCGTGTCCTGACACTCCTTTCCCCAGGGCTATTCTCTGTATTCCCAGATCTCACCCCAGCTCCCTCCCAACAGAGTCTTCTCTGACCGTCTGGTTGATGTGGCAGACATGGAAGCCTTTGTGGGCATCATCAGTGACAAACTTGGCTCCTTCTTTGACCTCACATTTCATAATCTTTGTCCCAACAAACGTCCTCCTATCTTTGGTGAGCTGGGAGCTCTGACTGCTGTAGGCTGGAGACCCTTAGGAGATGGATTAGAAGGAGGGTTGGGGCATGGAGTCCTGATGCATAGGGCCCTTTTGGGGAAGTCTGGGTAGGACCAGGAATTTGAGATCTGACTCTCGCTTCCCATGGCCCAGGGGACTTCCTGAGGGAGCCCAAGGTGTATGAAGACCTCACTGACCTGGCAGTACTGAAGACAGCCATGGAGACGGCTCTGAATGAGTACAATTTGTCACCTGCTGTTGTGCCAATGCAGCTGGTGCTCTTCCGAGAGGCTATCGAACACAGTGAGCACTTCCTACTCCCGTCCCCATCCTCAGCATCCCAATTATGGGTATTTCCAAGGAAATAGGGATCCCTTCCCAGGTCTCTCCCAAATCAAGTCCAGGAAGTTGCCTTCCTCCCTGGCTCCAGAGGCTCTTGTGGCAATGGGTAGGCTTTTCCTTGATGGTGGTATTTAATAGGAATGGTGGAGGTTAAAAGTCGAATTGCTACCAAGGCTTCAGGCATTAACCTCTTCCCACTTCTTGATCCCTCTACTTTAGTTTCAGTCATCCTAATCTCCAGCCTAGGGCTTGGAGGTCCCCTGAGGTTGCTCAGCCAACTCATACCCTCATCCCCTACCCCTCTACCCCCAGTCACACGGATTGTGCGAGTAATTGGACAGCCTCGGGGCAACATGCTCTTAGTGGGCATTGGGGGCAGCGGGCGCCAGAGTCTGGCCCGCTTGGCCTCATCCATCTGCGAGTACATCACCTTCCAGATCGAGGTCACCAAACATTATCGGAAGCAGGAGTTCCGAGATGGTATGGCTGGGTTTCTGAAATGGAGGAGGGTTTGGGGCTAGGCGTGAAAGATCAGATGCCTGACTTCCTGCAATTACAAGAGAGAGGGGAGATGGGGGCAAGATGGTGAGACGTACCAGGCCCATGTGGAGTATAGGATGGTGGTGTGTATGTATTGCGGGCTGGGGGAGGGTTCCTAAATCTTAGAAGAGGAATAAGGGACAGGATGGTGAATCTGAAGAGTCTGTCTCTCCCCTCTTCCTCCTTCCCTCATCTGGGCCAGATATTAAGCGTCTGTATCGCCAGGCTGGGGTAGAGCTCAAGGCCACATCCTTCCTTTTCGTGGACGCCCAAATTGCTGACGAATCATTCCTAGAGGACATTAACAACATCCTCAGCTCAGGCGAGGTCCCCAATCTCTACAAGACTGATGAATTTGAAGAGGTATGATCTCTTCCATATCCACTACCAGTTGGTTCTTTGGCCTTCCCAACTAACCGCTGAAGAAGCGCAGATCCCAGAGTACGCTACTGTAGTACCCCCTTTATTCACCCCCTATTAGGTGGAAGAGCTGTTCCTGTTCAGCCATCTTCCCTCAAGGGACCCTGTTGGACAGAGCTGCTTTAAAACCCACACCTTCTCAGCCCAGCCTCACTTGCCACCCACCCTGGTTCTACCATTGAACCTTCAGCCCTCTGACTCTGTGTAGTTTCTGTGCAGATCCAGACACACATCATAGACCAGGCCCGGGCAGAGCAGGTGCCTGAGTCCTCGGACAGCCTCTTCGCCTACCTCATTGAGCGCGTGCGGAACAACCTGCACATCATTCTCTGCCTCAGCCCCGTGGGCGACCCCTTCAGGTGACTCCTGGGTATAGCCTTCTTCCCCCTCAGTGCCCAGCACTCTTCATGGGGTCCTCCTCCCCTCTTTTGGCCTCCCGTGCCTTCTGCACGGGAGTCTCATGAATAGCACCAGGCTCTCCCGCCTGGCACGCCCCAGCTCCTTTCCTTAGACCATGCTTTCTTTCAGGAAGTTCCTGCTGCTTACATAGGAGTTGTCCACTCCCTTTTGGTTTGACTAGATTGTTTTGTGTTTTTTTTTTCTTTTGAGTGGTGGTTTTTTGTTTTGTTTTTAAATTTTTAATTGTGGTCAAAAAACACATGATGTAAAATTTACCATCTTAACATTTTTTAAGTGTACAGTTCAGTAGTGTTAAGTATATTCACATTGTTATGCAACAAATCTCTAGAACTTTCTCATCTTGCAAAACTGAAACTCTATACTTATTGAACAACTTCCCATTTCCCCCACCCTCTAGTCCCTGGCAACCACCGTTCTACTTTCTGTTTCTGTGAGGGACTATTCTAGGTACTTCTAGATAAGTGGAATCATATAGTATTTGTCTTTTTGTGACTTGTTTACTTTGCTTTATTATGCGACTTGTAGCATGTGGCAGGATTTCCTTTCTTTTTAAGGCTGAATAATATTCCATTGTATGTGTATACCACATTTTGCTTGTCCATTCTTGGTATGACTAGATTTTTAAGGGCATCAGAAAGTAGGAGGAGGACAGAGAACTTGTGCAGAGAGGCAATTTGGGTTACTTTTTTTTTCATATTTATGGTATATGGTGTATTTACATATACCAGGCACCGTGCTAAGCATTTTACATGTGTCACCTCATTGAATTCCTAATCCTAGTTAGTATTTTTTTTATTATTCCCATTTTAGAGATGAGGAAACTGATGTTCAGAAGGTTAGATCACTTGCCCAAGATCCACACCTGGAAGGTTTGGAACCTGGTTTTTCTGACCCCAGAATCTGTTTCTAAATACTACACTGCACTAGCTCTGAGGGAAACAGAACCTGGACAAGGAGATCCAGGAGCATGAGGATGGGGCATTTAGGTTCCTGGAAAGCAGGTGGACCTGTGACGAAGCCAGTAGCCCGAGGCTGAGTCTGCGAATGGACTTAACTGCCTCTCAAAACCCTTCACCAGGAACCGGATCCGCCAGTACCCAGCCTTGGTGAACTGCACAACCATCAACTGGTTCTCAGAGTGGCCCCGAGAGGCCCTGCTGGAGGTGGCTGAGAAGTATCTGGTGGGAGTAGACCTGGGAACTCAAGAGAATGTGAGACCCTCCTCTCCTCTCTCATCACACCCCTGCCCTCCCCCAATTGCCGTTCTCCCTCTGTCTTTACTCTCTGTCTTACATCCTTTATCCATGGCCTCAGATCCACAGGAAGGTGGCCCAGATCTTTGTTACCATGCATTGGTCAGTGGCTCAGTATTCCCAGAAGATGCTGTTGGAACTGCGAAGATACAACTACGTCACACCCACCAACTACCTGGAACTCGTGTCTGGATATAAGAAGTATGAAGAAGAGTAGAGACAGGGAGGGCCAGGGAGCTTGGTGTCTTTTGAGGCTGACTGGTGAAATGATGTAATGGAAAATATCCAGGAGCTGGCCAAGGGGACCCCTTCAAGGGCTAGGGTGCCAGTGTGCAATGGCAGAGGTGCAAGCAGTCTTAATTCTGCCCAGGAAGTTAATAAAAGAGAGATGGGGTTTCTAGGGGGCATGGCCATCTCTAGAGCCCTCTGGTTATGACCTGTCTTCACACTCTCTTTGTCCTTATTTTCCAGAATGATGTTTCTTTTTTCAACCACAATACAACTGTGACATTGCCATATAGATCCGTAATGTATATACCCAGTCCTCTCTTCTCTGCCTTTAATGTCTTCCAGACTTTCCATCGGTCTCACAAATTATATATTCATTGATTAAGTTGTATTGAGTGTCTTTTATGTGCACAGCACAATAATAATTTGCTTTGAAGGATATAAGAGAAATGTGGAAAAAAAACCCACCTTATTTATTGGATTCAGTATTTTAATCAAGGTGGAGAAAAAGCCATCTGTAGTGATAATACTAGTCAACATTTATTCATTCATTTAACACATTTTTTAAGCACCTACTATGTGCTAGGCACTATCCTAGATACTCACACTATACCAGTTAACAAACATACTCCTTGCCTTCTCTGGGTACATAGGCTTACATTTTGTTTACTATTTGCTGGTCACTGCTAAGCCCTTTACATGCATTTTCTCACTGTACAACGTTAAAACTTTTTGAATGAGTTGCCAACATTTAACACTTGGGAGCCTTAGAAAAATCCAGATTTCCAGCTTCTTTTTACAAAACAGAAATTGTGGCAATACTGAGCCCACATTCATACTCACATGGGAAAAACAGGCTGGAGTCCAGGGATGCCCTCCCCCCTCGAGACGGGTTTGTGTTTTCTGGTTCACTGCAGCCCCCTGCCTGCTGCATAGTGGGGAAGAGTGGAAGATTCTTAAGTAGGAAAGTGGTGTGATGAAACAGTATCTAGCAAGCTGGTTTTGACGCTGGTGTGTAGAATAAATCAGAAAGAGGAGAGTCTGGAATCAGGAAGACCAGTTGGGAAGTTGTTGGCAGTGATGCAGGCAGGAAATGATAAAAATCTGACTAGAGTGGTGGCAGTGGTGGCAACAGAAAGGAAGACAGGGACTAGAGAAACACTGGGAAGGGAGACTATATAGGCCAGTCTCCTCTCTGGGAGCCCAGCCTCTTATCCTCCTCTGTCTTTCAGGTTGCTGGGAGAGAAGCGACAGGAGCTGCTGGACCAGGCCAATAAACTGCAAACAGGATTGTTTAAGATCGATGAAACTAGGGAAAAGGTGGAAGTGATGTCTTTGGAGCTGGAGGATGCCAAGAAAAAGGTTGCTGAGTTCCAGAAACAGTGTGAGGAGTACCTAGTCATCATTGTGCAGCAGAAGCGGGAAGCAGATGAGCAGCAGAAGGTGGGGGGCTCCACACTGGTCCTGCCCTTCCAGCCCCCCTACTACCAGTGCCCACTGGGCAGAGGCTTCCTGGTCTCTATCAGTTACTGTGTCAGGGGATGCACGTTCCACTCCTCACATTTTCTTTAGCTTCATCTCTCATCGTTACCACCAACACTGTCACCCCACCTTTGCCCAAGGCCAAGACAAAACCCTCGTTCTCTTTTCATCCCTAGGCCGTCACAGCCAATAGTGAGAAGATTGCAATTGAGGAAGTCAAGTGCCAGGCACTCGCTGACAATGCCCAGAAGGATCTAGAAGAGGCATTGCCAGCCCTGGAAGAAGCCATGCGGGTATCGGGACAGGAGGGTCCAGGGAAGGAATGGGGCCGGCTTTCTTTGTCCTCAAAGTCCCTGGGGAAGTGGGAAGAAGGTGGGGTGCCTCAGCTGGGTCCTGTCTCCATGAAGGACCTGTCCTGCCACCTGAATTGACTCTGGCCATGCTCCCTAAGTTAATCCCTTTTCCCAGGCCCTGGAGTCCCTAAACAAGAAGGATATAGGCGAGATCAAGTCTTATGGACGGCCCCCCACCCAAGTGGAGATAGTGATGCAAGCAGTCATGATTCTCCGAGGCAACGAGCCCACTTGGGCAGAGGCCAAGAGGCAGCTAGGTAAGCTACAGAACCAAAAGAGAATTAATGTCAATGCTCCCAACATTTATTAATCATCTGCTGTGCACCAGGCACTTAGAGAGACAGAGATGAACGAGGCATTGTACAGCCCGTCAACAGCATAGAGCCTACGAGGAAAGAGAAGACATAAATATCAGTTAAGATTCTTTGGTTGTGAGTAACAGAAAACAACTCGTCTTAATTTAAGCCAAAAAGAAAGGGGGGAAATTGCCGTGAAGGTGTAGGAATGTATCGCAGAATCCAAGGACAGGAATGCCTTTGGGCCCCCAAAAAGGGCAAGAGTCAGAAAGTGAAAAACAAGAGTCTTTCTCTTTCACTCTTGTGGTTTTCTGTGCTTTGAGTCCCCTTGGTAGAATGTAACCTGCAAGCCGTAGTGTGGCGACCCCTACCCCAGAGGAGAGTGCAAAGCAGATAGAAAGAATGATGTTGGGGTGGTTGGGCTGAGAGTATTCAAGGTGAGTGATGGGAGATGAGGCTAGGAAGATTGTGGAGGGCCCTGGGGGCTTCGAGGTTCTAGAGAAGGGAGCAAGGTCAGCAGAAGGAACTCAAGATGAGGTCAGATATTCTGGCCTTGCGAACTGAGCCCAGGAAAAATGTGGCCATGCCTGAGCATTGGAGGTGAAGCCTGGACAAGGAGGGTGGCGGTAGGCCCTCTGGCTGAGTCCCCCAACTTTCATCCCACAGGAGAACAGAACTTCATCAAGTCACTGATCAACTTTGATAAAGACAATATCTCAGATAAGGTGTTGAAGAAGATAGGGGCCTACTGTGCTCAGCCTGACTTCCAGCCTGACATCATCGGCCGGGTCTCGAGTGCTGCCAAGTCCCTCTGCATGTGGGTACGGGCCATGGAGGTAAGCAGTGGCGGGGGTGGGGTGGGAAGCATGGAGGCAGGCCTGGGAAGAGGGCGATGCACACAGGAAAGAGCTGGAGGAACGGAAGACCCAGGTGGGAAGGACGGATCACCGCGGGTGAGTGGGTGGATGAGTGGGTGGGTGGCTGTCTCCCTGCAGCTGTACGGGCGGCTGTATCGGGTTGTGGAGCCCAAGCGCATCCGAATGAACGCTGCGTTGGCCCAGCTTCAGGAGAAACAAGCAGCACTGGCTGAGGCCCAGGAGAAGCTGCGGGAGGTGAGCCTCACAACCTTCTTTTTCGGGGTGGCCTCTCTCCCTGATTTCAAGGACACTTCATTACTGTTATTTTTCCTCCTCTAATTCTACTCGCCTCTCCCTTACAGTTCTGTCTGCCTCCCACTCTATGCCCTGTTTAGATGGGCTGCCTCTGGCTCAGACAGCTAAGCCAATTGCAGAGGGTTACAAAGGCACAGAGGGCACTGTCCCTGGGGAGCCTTTCCAAAGACTGATTGGGAGGTGGCCATCTCTGTCATGGCCTTTGGAGATGGGTCCTGAGATATTAACAGATGACATCTGTGTGGCAAATCCATCTTTGTCTGGGGGATGGGGCAAGAGTGTCACATTGCTGCTGTGGGCCAGGAGGAATGTGAGGGCATCTGAGCTAGTGCTTGAGGGGAGGAAGCGGTCCTCATAGAGGTAGAGGGGCCACTTATTATGAGCAGGCTAGACAACCCAAAAGGTGATTTGCTATAAGATGTATGCACAAGTAACTCTCAAACCAGGTAGAATGTGAAGTGCTGTTATCAAAAGAGTTCAAAATCCTTCCAGTCTATCACTTAATTTCTCTATCATTGATTTAACAGGTAATACATTCACATGGTTTGAAATTCAAAAGGTGCAAAAGAGTATCCAGTAAGAACTTGCCCTCCCATCTTCTGCTCTCCAGCCACTCAGCTGCCCTCCCTTGAAAGCAATCAATATTACAAATTCTTGTTTTTCCATTGGGGGGGGTGGTTCTATGCTTATATAAGCGTTTTTTTACATTATACACACTGTTTTGCACCTTCCTATCTTACCTATATATTGAAGGTTATTCTATATCAGTGTTTAAAGAGTTTCTGCTTTCTTTTTACCGCTGCATGGTATTCCACTGTATTGCTATCCCATCATTTATTTAACCATTTCCCTTTTCGATGGACATATTCATTGTTTCCAATTTTTTGATCTTCACTTGTCCTCTAACTTTGTTGATGCTGTCTTTAACTATATAGAAGTTTTTGGGGCCGCCCATTGGTGTAGTGGTTAAGTTTGTGTGTTCCACTTTGGCGGCCTGGGGTTCCGATCCTGGGCATGGACCTACTCACCGCTCATCAAGCCATGCTGAGGCGGCATCCCATATAAAAAAACTAGTAGGACCTACAACTAGGATATACAACTATGTACTGGGGCTTTGGGGAGAAAAAAGAAAAAAAGAGGAAGATTGGCAACAGGTGTTAGCTCAGGGCCAGTCTTCCTCAAAAAAAAAAAAGAAAGAAGTTTTCAATTTTTATATAACTGAAGCTGGTCATACCATTTCAAAATGTTTTTTTTTTTTATTGTGAGGAAGATCAGCCCTGAGCTAACATCCATGTTAATCCTCCTCTTTTTGCTGAGGAAGACCTGCCCTGAGCTAACATCTATTGCCAATCCTCCTCCTTTTTCTCCCCAAAGCCCCCAGTAGATAGTTGTATGGCATAGTTGCATATCCTTCTAGTTGCTGTATGTGGGACGGGGCCTCAGCATGGCTGGAGAAGCGGTGCATCGGTGCGCGCCGGGGATCCGAACCCGGGCCGCCAGTAGCGGAGCGCGCGCACTTAACCGCCAAGCCAGGGGGCCAGCCTCTCAAAATGTTTTAACCAAAGCCAACTATAGAGAACGTCCAGGTCCATCCTCTTCAGATTGGATGGGAACCCGAGGTTTAGTGAGATTAAGTGACTTGCTAGTTACTGACAGAGCTAGAATCCATGTTTCCTGACTCCACGCCCCATCGCCACCAGGGTTCATCCCTGCCTTTTCCCGCTGCAGGCATCTTTACTGTCAGAAGTGAAGCTGCCCTTGAGGCCTTTTCTGATTCTGTCTGCAGAATGAAGCAGGCTGGGCGAGTGGGCCTCTGTCTGCACATGCTCCTCCATTGCCCTGTCCTTTCTACCATTTGCAACTGCCAACCTCTCATGAAACCTTCACTCTTTCACTCTCTTTTTCAAGTGTGAATAATCACAGGTGTGGCAACCATTTGCAAAGGTTTCTCCTGGATGAATCATATCCTGGGCCAAACAATTAGCAGTTGTTTCCTTCACATGTGAAAAATTGAGACCTCTGGGTCAGCTGCCAACAACATTGTTCACTGGATGAACATTTATAGAGCAGCCAATGTTAGGTCTCTGGTGGGGGATCCACACCCCACCTTGAGAAACTAGTTGATGAGAGTAGGCAGACAGGGAACCAGAATTTCTCTTTATTACTGAAAAGGCTGTGAAGTGTAAGAGCCAAAGCACCTTTTAACAAAACCTCAGAACTGGGCGCTCACCCACCCGCCTGCAGATAGCACCGTGCTGACGCTGAGCACCCCAGCCAACTAAGTAAGAATCTCTGGTAGAGCCTGGAAGTCAGCATCTTGAAAGCTTCCCTGTCAGAGCCAACCAGAGGTGGGAAAGCCTGTACAGCACTAGGGCCCAGAGGTCTGGAAAGAGGCCCAGAGACCAAGTATATTGCATATCAATCCAAATCTTGAGTAAATAGTTTTAACCATTACTCACTTGCTTGGGGCCCTGCAAATATGTTTTCCCCAGGCCTGATTTTGACATGCAGCAAAGCTTGTGAACCACTGGCTTGTAAATTGCCTCAGAAGGCTCTGAAATGGTCATAACAGAATCTTAATCTATTTCAAGGCAACTGTATACCCAAGGTTGAAAATTCACTTTCTTTCCTATTTCCCATTCCAAATTACATCTAGTCGCATTGTCCAACACAGTATATCAGAGGTTATGGAGTGAGATTGAATGACAACATTAAAATGCTACAATAATAAACATCACAGAAATTCCACAAATTTGAATATAACCCCCAGGGGGAAATTAAATTTCAAATATTAAATTCCTTTGTAAACTAAAGTCCAAATAAATTAAAATCTGAAATCAGATTATCTTGCTTTTGTGAGTTAAAAATATAGAATCCAACATTCTTAAGTTCAAGTCCCCAAACCATCCTCCCCAAATTCTTGTTCTGCTCAGTCTCAGCTGAGGGGTTCTTAGTATCTGGGTAGAGTCAGTTTCTTTAAGTTATAATCTGGGCTGTCACTCAATGGAAATGGATGTTGTTCCTGCAGGACCTCGGAGACTATTAGTTCAAAATCAAGTCTCTAATGAGCATCATTTGAAAATAAAAAACAGTTCAAGGAGTTAATAAGGCATACATGACTTCCAGATAAAATTATGTTCCCAGAAACCAGTTGTTATTATTGCATCAAAGACCGTAGTAGAAACTCGTAGTAATATTTTCGGGAGTGAGGATACATGGAGAAAATCTTGGTTTTAGCTTCACTAGAATGTCAGTTATCTGAAAACCATGACCTGTGAATTTAAATTAAACCAGCAGAAACCTCCATCAATAGATTAATATGAGATATAATCCAACCAATAAGCATTTACTGTTTTGGGAGGGGCTGGAAATCCACATATGTATATCTTCTGTGTTGGAGGGGGAGTTATTGTGGTGAAATACACATAAAATTTACCATTGTAACCATTTTAAAGTATATAAATCAGTGGCATTAAGTACATTCACCTTGTGCAGCCATCACGCTATCTAGTTCCAGAGCGTTGTCATTATCCCGAACAGAAATCCTGGGTACGTCCTTTTAATTTCAGTTTCCCCCTTGAGCTCGCGTTCCCCGCTCTGCGTCACAGCAGCACAGTGGCTGACATTACTGTCTCTCTGTAGAGTTGCTGAGGCCGACGAAAACTGCCTCTTTGGGAAAGTTTTCACCTTGTCCCCATACTTTTTTTAACTGGAAAATTACCTTCAGCAGATTCCTGAACTGAAGCTGCTGTTGATGCTGCTGAAGCCTGTTTCCCGGGGCCTTGTAGGGAACAGTCCTCTGCCATTTGTGTCTCAAGACATGATTTTCCTCCCCTTTTGAGTCCCCTAAGTTGCTCAGGCATGTTCCCTTAAGGCACAGGTAATACCTGTGTACCCACCTGCCCTAACTGCACCACCTGGAACCTCAGCCAGAATGGAAAACTACCAGCCTGTAAGCCTGTGGACAAGCCACAGGGACTTCAGGTTAGTCCCACCACAATCACCTCCTTGCTCAGAATAAAAAATTGAATAATGGGATAGCTGATCTGGTGTTGTCTGCCTAGGCCTGGCAGAAACCATTTAAAGCTAGAACCTGTAGTACACACAAAACTGACTGCCTTGTAGTTTAAAAGCAGCAAATCTAATATTCTGTCCATTAGTGCCTAAAAATGATCTAATCCCACTTCAACTTAGTCAACAATATCAGACCGTTTCTGTGTTGTAGCTACAGAAGCCTTTATCCTGAGATCCCCGCCCCTCACCTCTTAGTTAAGGCCACCCTTGCAGACCACATCTTTCCTTTGCCCAAGCCCAGTTTCCTTGATGCTTCAAACATTCCTGCCTCTATAGAAATAGCCACTCACCTGTGGACAAAGCTGAAGCCATCTGCCAAGGTCAAGATAACGCAGGGTTTGCTTCAAGACTTGCACTCAGGCTGCAGAGGTTAAAAGTCGACCACACAGATGTCAAAACCCACTAGGCCTAATATAAGCCTCTACGAATCACCTAAGTCAAAACACCTGTTTACACCCCGAGTCTGCCCATGAAACTCCGAGCCCCACCAAAAGCTCCTTAGTGGGTTTTCTGGTCTGCAGAAATACTCTTGAGGGGATCTGAGAACTAGCAGCCTTCTTCCATGCCTGGGTTCTAAGCAAACTGAGGAATAAAACAAAAGGCATTTGGCCAAAATATTACCTTCAAAGGCTAGGTTGGAGGATGTGCCTGACATCTGTAGGCGAGCAGCCCCACTAGTAGTGACCCCATATTCAGACAGACTTACCCAGTCTTGGGCATTGCTGGAGGCACAGAGTAGAGCTGGTGCTTACCCCTAAAAGGAAAGGGCCTGGGGCCAGCCCGGTGGCGTAGCGGTTAAGTGCGCTCGCTCCGCTTCAGCGGCCCGGGGTTTCCAGGTTCAGATCCCGGGCTTGCACTGATGCACTGCTTGTCAAGCCATGCTGTGGCAGCGTCCCATATAAAGTAGAGGGAGATGGGCACAGATGTTAGCCCAGGGCCAATCTTCCTTGGGAAAAAGAGGAGAATTGGCACAGGATGTTAGCTCAGGGCTGATCTTCCTCACAAAAAAATAATAAAATAAAATAAAAAAAAGGAAAGGACCTGAGCTCAGTTAAGCATTCCTAATTTATTCTTCCCAATTTTACCAATCAGATTAGTCATGCACCTCCCCTGGAGAAGGGGTGAGTAAAGGCGTGGAGGAAGTCTTCCAATACACAAGGGAATGACAAGATAAAAATTTATGACAAAACTTGACCCCAGAGGAAAAAATAAATCCAGAGATAATTCAGGTTACAGAGAAGAACTTAAAAAGCAAACGTACTCTAATCAGAGAGTGGTTAAGGAAGAAATGACATCCAAAATACAAAAATAGAAAGATAAGAGAAGAATTCTAAACAGAGAAAAAGAAAGAATTCTGGAAAATTTTAAAATGATCAAAGTATGACATGCAGTAGAAAGGTGGGAGGATAGATTCAAGGAATATAATACAAAACCCCAGAAAACATGAGAAATAGAAAAGACTCAATACCAATAAGAATTTCTGAAAGAGAAAACACATAATAGGGGTAATAGGAAAACATTTAACAGCCAGTTCAGCATGTGCAGTGACCTATCAGAGTGTGCGTCAGCCACAAACAGCTCAGCTAGCCGCCCGGGGCACTCGGGGCACCAACCCAGGTCATAATAACATCAACACTGTTTATGACGTTCGACCTTAAAATCAACCTAGAGACGAAGCACAGATGACTGATTGTGGCTTCTCAATGGAAATGTTATCAACCTTGACAACGTAAAATAAAAGCTTAAAAAGTTGGGAGGTGGGGGCCAGCCCGGTGGCGCAAGTGGTCAAGTGCGCGAGCTCCACTGCGGCGGCCCAGGGTTTGCTGGTTCGGATCCCGGGCGTGCCCCGACGCACCGCTTGGCAAGACATGCTGTGGCGGTGTCCCATGTAAAGTAGAGGAAGATGGGCACGGAGGTTAGCCCAGGGCCAGTCTTCCTTAGCAAAAAAAGAGGAGGATTGGCAGATGTTAGCACAGGGCTGATCTCCTCACACACACACACACAAAAGTTGGGAGGTGGATGTAGGTTGGGGTTGAGGGAAAGATGGGGCAATGCTTTTGTAGTAGATAAAATAAAACAAGGTTTTAATATGTTATTTAAAGTAATAAAGGTAACCAGTAGAAGAAACTGAAACTATTAGGAGTAGAGAGAAAGGGGTGGTGGTGTGGAGGTATAAGAGAATCAAATCTTCATCTATCATACCATAGAGTCAATAGAAATTGTCTAAAATTGATAAACCAGGAAACAGCAGTATAGGATACAGTCATGTTTCGCTTAATGACAGGGACACTTTCTGAGAAATGCGTTGTTAGGCAGTTGCATTGTTGTGTGAATATCACGGAGTACTTATTACACAAACCTAGATGGTCTAGCCTCCTATACACCTAGGCTGTATGATACTAGTCTTATGGGACCACGGTTGTACACACAGTCTGTTGTTGACTGAAGTGTCATCATGCAGTGCATGACTACATGCTCCTGTATGTAGACAATCCTTCTGGAAGGATATTCAAGAAACAGGTCACATTGGCTACCTTGAAAAGGGAGCTGGGTGAATGGAGAGCAGGGTTGGGAGGAAGACTTTTCATGCTCTTATGCCTGTTGAATTTTTAAGTTACTTATTCACAAAGTAAACAAAATTAAAAAAGAAATAGCAGCATGAAGATGTGCTTATGCATGTACGAGGATATTACAGCATCATTAATAATAGAAAATGTTGGAAAGACAAATGTCCATCAGTAGGAGACTTGTTCTATAAATTATGGTTCAGTCATACACAAAATTATTCGCAGCTGTTAAAAGGAATGAGACAGCTCTACAAGAATGATTTGGAGACAAGTAAAAAATAGTAAAGAACAGTGTTATTGTATGTTACCATTTATCTTTGTAAAAATATTCATCCATTCAAGAAATATTTATTGAGTATTGAGAATACTGCTGGGCAGTATTCTAGGTCTAAGAATTCGGTAGTGAACAAGGCCCTGCCCTCACGGTGCTTACATTATCTTTATGATTGATGGACTCTGTGTGTGGACTCTGTCTAGAAAGCTACACTAGAAACTGGTGACAGTGGTTCCCTCCTGGGCTGGGGGTGGGGCTGGGGTCAAGGGTGGGAGGAAGATGGACCCTTCACTGGATACGCTTTTGTTTCTTTAGAATGTTGATTTGTGTGAACATATTTAGTATTCAAAAAAGACATAAATAAGAAAAATTATTTTATAAAAAAGATAAAGATGTTAAATGTGATAATGGTGTTAGGATTATATAGGAAAATGTCCTTTTTTAAGAAGAGATGCATTATGAGGTATTTAGCCTTGAAATTTCATGAGTTTGTAATTTGCTTGAAGATACTTGGCAAAAAACAATGAGATGCAATAAATATAGCAAAGCGTTAACTGTTAAATCTAGATGATGGGTATATAAGTATTCGTTATATTATTATTTTTCCTAGGTTTGAAATTTTTCATGTTAATTTTTAATGAAAAAGATTAAAACTGTAAAAATTTAAAAACAGATTAATATATATATATTTTTAAAATAGTGGAATAAGCATAATATTCAGAGATATGGAGGTAACTACCAGAAGAAATAAAAAGAGAAATGGTTAAAACACAATTTGCTACTGAGGAGTGAGAATGGGAGTGGAAAAGCTGGGCTAGAGGACTATTGCTTTTTACCCCTTTTATTATATTATTTAGGTTTTTAATCTCATGCATATCATTTCTTGTATAAAAAGTAAAAACAGTAAAGATAACACCACACGCAAAATAAATAGTAAAATATAGAACTATCAAGTGTGCTGGCTGCCTCCCCTCAGACAAATCTCTATGGGAAGCCAAATTATAATCAGAATGTTGCTGATGAGCGTGGGCTCAGTGCAGAGAGGCGGTCATGTGAACCTGATGACAGGTGTCAGCAGCAAGACCACCAGTTGCATGGCTTCCATCAGGGTTAAACCCAACCCATGTGTGTGGGGTGGGGGGTGGGGGCCAGGGCATCCCTATCCCTTTAGGCCCCCAGCCAGCGTTTCCTCTGAGTGGCCTAGCTGACCACGCCCCTTCGAGTGACATCTTTCTTTAGATGTTAATGCCTTCTAACAGATTACTACCAAGGCTTGACCTATAAGCTGTCCTGTCACTTGAAGGTGACATTTTAAACTTCCACTTTGCTTTGAAGACTATTTCTTGGAGAATTATCTATCCCATTTCCAAGTTCTTGGAGGCCAACCTCAATTGTTGGGCCCAGGTACTGCTTGCTTACTACATGCTAGGCATTGTGCTACAATCCACATTTATCCTTACAGCAGCCGGATGAGGCTCATTTGGTAAAGGAGGGCAAGGATCTGAACGCTCTGCACTATTGCAGGCTGCCTCTCCCCGTGGGGATGGCAGCAGGAAAGGGAACTAACATTAATCGTGTGCATACTATGTGCCAGGAACTTAGTGTAACGCCAGCCCGCTGTTCCTCATCATGAAAAGACGGGTGACACGGCGTGTTACTCTTCGCCAGTCAGGCACGTACAGGGTCTTGGAAAAGGCTCAATCAGTCCTTGACTTTAGATTTGAGTGATATATTGCAACCTCAACAGAGCCCACAGGGTGACGACGACTTGAGGGAGGCTTCTCTAGTAGGAGAAGCTCTTCCCAGGTCCTCAGTCTCTCGTGTGGGACTTTGGATCTGGGCCTTTTTCTTGAATGGACTCCCTCTTTCTCTCTCCAACGGCTCCTGGGTTCATTTCTAGCTTTTTCTTCCTCTCTCAAAGTCCCACCTTAGGTATGGCCTCTGGCACGGAGTGGCAGTCATGTTTGTGCTATCTGATCCTCTCTTGCCAACACATCTTGTGTGGTTTATTATGCTACACGAGGTCTGTCTCCTACTCAGCCTGGAGTTTCATTACCAAGTAGTTTCCAGGCTCAAGGAAAGAGTAGTGGAAGGAAGGGAAAGAACTCATCTTTTCACACATATTTTACCTTGTCGTCTCCTTACAATAACCCTATAGGGTAGGTGTTGTTATTCTTATTTTGCTCATGAGGAAACTGAAGCTCAAAGAGATCAATTTACCCAAGGTCATACAGCCACAAAATGGCAGATTGGTGATTCGAACTCAGAACAATCTGGCCTCAAGCCCTGTTTTGTTTTGTTTTGTTTTGTAAGGAAGATCAGCCCTGAGCTAATATCCGATGCCAATCTTCCTCTTTTTTTGGCTAAGGAAGATTGGCCCTGAGCCAACATCTGTGCCCATCCTCCTCCACTGTACATGGGACGCCGCCACAGCATGGCTTGACAAGCTGTGTGTCGGTGGGCACCCAGGATCCGAACCCGCAAACCCCAGGCTGCCGCAGCGGAGTGCCACACACTCAACCGCTTGCGCCACCAGACAGGCCCTCAAGCCCTGTTTGATCTCTGTACTCTGATCCCTCCCAGGTGGCTGAGAAACTGGAGATGCTGAAGAAACAATATGATGAGAAGCTGGCACAGAAGGAGGAGCTTCGCAAGAAGTCTGAGGAGATGGAGCTGAAGCTGGAGCGAGCTGGGCTGTTAGTGTCTGGTCTGGCTGGCGAGAAGGCCCGATGGGAGGAGACAGTACAGGTGAGATCTCTTGTTCCGCCTGGCTCTCCTTCCTTCCTGCCCACCGGTTCTAAGAGCTCCCATCCCCTTCAGGTTGAAGGACAGTCAGGGAAAGGGGGGACACCTGGGTGTAGGGACAACCAAGAAGGGGGGATGGGAGTTCTTCCCCTCCCCCTCCTCACCTTTGGTAAGAAGAGTGGAAGGAAAGACTTTTTGTACCATTAAGGATCTTCCTCCATATTTAGGTAGGGCTGGAAAGCACACACGAGGACCCTTCATGTAGCCCGCCGACCTGAGAGAAACAGTCATGGGGCATCTTGTCTCTAACCTCAGTGAGCGCCTGGATTCACAAAAGGGTTAGGCCTTATCACCAGAATGTAAACAGAATTGCTGTTAAAGATGGGAAACTCAAAAGTAATTAGAACCAGGTTCCAGTGCTCAGGGCACAAAGGTTTAGGAGATGGAAGGAGTCTCTTTGATCTAGATAGAGTCCAGAGGAGAGTGCCTTCAAAGCATTCCAAGTGGCTCCCATTGCTAGGGGCCTAGGCAGGCTGACACCTCCCCTACTGTCCTCTAGGGCCTGGAGGAGGATCTGGGCTACCTGGTGGGCGACTGTCTCCTGGCAGCCGCCTTCTTGTCCTACATGGGACCCTTCCTGACCAACTACCGGGATGAGATCGTCCACCAGATCTGGATCAGGAAGGTGAGGCAGGGCCTAGGCGTGATGAGTGAGCTCTTGGGCTCTGAGACCAGGGCTTTGGGGAGTAACAAGAGATATTGGGAAGGGACAAGGGTGCGGGACTCAGATCTCTAGTCTGAAATTTGGGGCTCTCTTCCCTCTCCAGATCGGGGAACTTCAGGTTCCTTGCTCACCTCACTTCACCTTCGATAACTTCCTGTCCAATCCTACCAAAGTTCGGGACTGGAACATCCAAGGGTTGCCCTCGGATGCCTTCTCCACTGAGAATGGCGTCATCGTCACCCGTGGCAACAGGTGAGGATGCTGCTGGGAGCATGAGGCCGAGGCAAGGCAGAGCCTGGCTTCTGACTGATGCTTGCTCCTTCAGGTGGGCACTGATGATTGATCCTCAGGCCCAGGCCCTGAAGTGGATTAAGAACATGGAAGGAAGCCAGGTATAAGGCTTGAGGGCTGGTGTTGTCCCCTTAGAATCTCTTCCCAAGCCTGTCTCTTGCTGAGGTTCTACCCTGGGGCCATTTTTCCGTTTGAATCCCTCAGCGTTTCTTCCATATTTTGTCCTTGCTTTCTAGGGCCTCCAGATCATCGACCTGCAGATGAGCGATTACCTTCGAATCCTAGAAAAGGCCATCCAGTTTGGATACCCAGTGCTGCTCCAGAATGTGCAGGAATATCTGGACCCCACACTCAACCCTGTGCTCAACAAATCTGTAGCTCGAATTGGTCAGGGCCCAGGCTTATTGTGGGGTTGGACTGTGGGACAAATCCTAGAGACCAGCCAAGTAGGACACTAGGGAGGAAAGGGCTGGCGCTTTGGCTATGTCCTCTACTTACCTGTCTCTCCATTCAGACAGCCCTGGGCTGGGGCCCTTAAAGCAGGCTGAGTCACTGCCACTGGGCTGAGGAATGGGTCAGCCTGCCCCTAGTCACATGCGGTCCTTGTCCTTGACCCTCCTGTGGGTACAGGTGGTCGGCTGCTGATGCGCATTGGAGATAAGGAGGTGGAATACAATACCAATTTCCGTTTCTACATCACCACCAAGCTCTCCAACCCCCACTACAGCCCAGAGACCTCAGCCAAGACCACCATTGTCAACTTTGCTGTCAAAGAACAGGTGGGTGGAGGCTGATGCCTAAACTGAACTAGGTTGAAGCAGGAAGGGCTGTAGAGTTCGGCAGGATGGAGAGAAAGGCTAAGATTGTGTTGGACAGCTGGGTATGAGGAGCTTGGGAGGTGTAAAGGGATGAAAAGGGTGAAGGTCATCAGAGTGAGATTCTCACCATGAGTCTTGGTGCTCCCAGGGCCTGGAGGCCCAACTGCTAGGCATTGTGGTCCGAAAGGAGCGGCCTGAGCTGGAGGAGCAGAAGGATTCGCTAGTCATCAATATCGCCGCTGGCAAGAGGAAGCTCAAGGAGCTGGAGGATGAGATCCTTCGGTGAGACCTTGCCTCCACCCACCCACCATCCCACTGGTCCACTGGCAGGCGCAACTAGCATCGCAAGGGGGCTGATGAGGAGTCCCTTGCCCCCAGCCTAGTACTCCTAACCCCTCCATCCACGTGCTTGTTGGCTTCTCTCTAGGCTGCTGAACGAGGCCACAGGCTCCCTGCTAGATGATGTGCAGCTGGTAAACACCCTGCAGACCTCCAAGATGACCGCCACTGAGGTGACTGAGCAGCTGGAGACCAGTGAAACTACGGAGATCAATATTGACTTGGCTCGTGAGGTGAGCTCCTGTGCCCTCCAACCTAGCCCCTGCCAGCCATCAAGACACAGCTCCAACGGTGTTGGCTTGAGGCCCCTTTCCTCCCTGAGTCCCTGGCCTGTGCCATGCCTCTCTGTGGCCCTGACTTTGCCCCCTCTGCAGGCTTACCGTCCGTGTGCCCAGCGGGCATCAGTACTGTTCTTCGTGCTCAATGACATGGGTCGCATCGACCCCATGTACCAATTTTCGCTGGATGCCTACATCGGCCTCTTTATCCTCAGCATTGACAAGAGCCATCGCAGCAACAAGCTGGAGGACCGCATTGACTACCTGAATGAATACCACACCTATGCTGTCTACAGGTCTGAGGGTTCCTCCCGACGTGTCCTAGGCAGGAGGGCAAGTGGCTGGTGCTAATGCTGCCCCTTCTTGCTGCTTCTGCCTTAGTGCTTTCCCATGCCACCATTGTTGGTCCCCTGCTCTCCTCTCCATACACCTTTCCTGGGTAGCTCATCCACTGTCATGGTCTAACCATCACCTATGGGCTGACTATTCCCAATTTTATATCTTGATGTCTCCCTTGAGCACTGGACTTGTGTATACAACTGTCTGCCATACCAGCCCTTCTCAAATGGTAATGTGCCTAAAAAGCACTGGGGATCCTGTTGAAATGCAGATTCGGATTCCGTAGGTCTGGGGTGGGCCTGAGATTCTGCATTTCTAGCTAGCTCCTAGGTGATGCTGCTGCTGCTGGTCTGTGGATCACACTTTAAGTAGTAAGGTACTTGCCTTCTCTACCTGGACATCCCACAGACCCCTCAAGTTCAGCATGTTTCACATCAAACTCACTATCTTCTCTCTTCCTTCAGGGTCCTCACCCCTGAATGGCATCAACACCCACTTCCCAGGCACCCAAGCCAGATATTGGGAGTTATCCATGGCTCTTCCCTCTCCCTGCCTCTCAGATCAGTCACCAGGTTTTGCTCATGAATCTTTCTGTACGCTGTTCCCTCCCAGTTCTGCCCACTGCTAATGACTGTACTTTAGCTCAGGCCCTTCATGATCTTTCTTTCTGAATTACACAACCATCTCCTAACAGGTCATCCTGCCTCTAACTTGTCTCTCTCCAATATCTCCTCCTGCAGCTGCCAGTGTGAGCCTTCCAAACGTGCAGACCATGCGCCTCCCGGCTTAAACTCTTCAGTGGTTGTTTCGTGTCCAGTGACCCATGAAGCTCTCTGTGCGCTGGCCTCCACCTGCCTGCCAGCCTCACCTTCCCCATCATACACTGGACACTTTCCTGTGCTGTTCTCTCCCCCTGCCCCTCCGCTTCTGCTTCTGCTCTGAGCTCTCCCTGGAGCCCTCCCCTCTCTTCCTCTTCCACGTCACTGGAACTCCGCTGCACCTCACGGCAACTCCTTGCAGAAACTTTCCCTGAGTCCACTAGGCAGGGCAGGTGCCCCTGCCCTGTGATAGCGCTGCCGCCCCTGTATAGGATTCATCACCTCATATCATAATTGATGACCTCTCTGTCTGTCCTCCCCACTCTACCTGACTTCCTCCAGGACAGAGACTGTGGCTTATTCGTCTTTGTGTCCTCAGGACCTAGCACATAGTAGGACCTAGCACATAGTAGGGGTCCAGTCAATGTTGGTTTTTTTTTTTATTGATGTCTTAATAGTTTATAACATTGTGAAATTTTGGTTGTACATTTTTGTTTGTCGATCACCATATACAAGTCTCCCTTCACCCCTTGTGCCCACCCCCCACCCCCTTTGCCCCTGGTAACCACAATACAGTTCTTTCTGCCCGTGTGTTGGTTTATATTCCACATACGAGTGAAATCACGTGGTGTTTGTCTTTCTCTTTCTGGCTTATTTCACTTAACATAATAACAATGTTGGGTGTTTTTTTAAATGGAAATGACTGACTGATTTTACTGTGAACTCTGGAAAAATCACATCCTCTCTCTAGGTCCCTGAGTGCTTGGCTCTTTACAGGAGGTTTGGATTAGATGCTGATTAAGGTCCTTCTGTGTAAGGCTCTGTGATAGCATGATCTTCATTCAGGAAGCATTTGTGTTAAGTATCTGCCTCCTCCTCCCTCCTTGTCCCCTTCTCCCAGGTACACCTGCCGCACCCTTTTTGAGCGCCACAAGCTGCTATTCAGTTTTCAAATGTGTGCCAAAATCCTGGAGACTTCTGGCAAGCTCAATATGGATGAGTACAACTTCTTTCTCCGTGGGGGTGTGGTGAGTTGGACAGAGGGCGCATCCAGGTGTGGGGTGGTCAAGGTTGGGGATGAGGGCAAGTATGACGAGGACTCCAGGCCCAGAGGGTAAGGCCCAAGGCTCCAGCGCATGAACCGAGGAAAACTGCCAGGAGCAAGTACATGACAAGCTCCCTGGGGCTGTGGGGAGTGACTTGCAACGCGCCCCCTTGCCCACGTTACTCTTACCTGTGACCCACCAATTGGCATGATCTTGCCGCTTTTTCTATGTCTCTCAAGCTGCTACTTCCTCAGCCTGAATTCCATGGTCACCATTACACTCTCTCCTTTACAAGCACCCTCAACCCTTTGCCCGCACCCCACTCTGTGTTGCAGTTGCTGGATCTAACTCTAGTTGGATCCAGCTCTCCTTCCCCTCTGTCTGTCCCTGTGTGGCCCATGCAGCTGAACGTGGCTGGAGAAAAACACACCCACACTGACTGGACTCACTTTAAATCCGTGATCATGAACCTCAAGTGGGCCCTTAAAGCTGCCTGACAACCACACCACGTTTCCCTGGGCTGGTCACTCCCCCACCTTCTTGGACAACAGTTTCATCCTTTGGCCACCTTCACGTCACCTCCTATCTGGATTGTAGCAAGAGCCTCCCCCACCCCCAGTCTCTCAACACAGCAACCAGAGAGATTCTTTGAAAAAGAATCCCCATCACTGACGTCACTTCCCACTGCCCGACTCCTTGGTCCATCCTCCAGATGCACTGGTCTCCTTGCTGGCGCAGTCATGTCCCACCTTAGGGCCTTTGCACTGGCTGTTCCTTCTGCCGGAAGACTACCCCCCAGGTGTACACTTGGCTCTCTCTGTCACCTCCTTCAAGACTTGATTCAAACCTTACCTCACTGACACTTCCTTGACTTTCTTGTTTAATACTTCAAACTACTCCCCAGCACTGCCAATCTCCCTTATCCTCCTCAATTTATTTTATTTTTCCATGGCGCTGCCATCTTTAACATACTAGATAATTTGCTTATTTGTTATGTTTTTGGTTCATTATCTGCCCTCCCATGTTGGAAAATAAGTTCCTCAAGGCCAGAGATATTCGTCCGTTTTGTTCAGTGGTGTGTCCCAAGTGCTTAAAACACGTAGTTGGTGAACAATTAATGTTTGGTAAAGAGAATAAGTGAATAAATGAACCGTTTGTGCTTCTCTGAAGAGTGAGGCTCCCAAGTGAAATCATTAGGGTAGGAGACATTATTACCAGGCATCCACGAGAGGGCACCAGCTTCCTAAATTTGAACTGTGATATCTGCACAGTCTGAGAGAACTAGACCCCCACTTTATTTCCTGAAAAAGGTGAATTCCAATCCACCTTGGATTCCTGTATTCATCTCTTCATTCTGTTTCAGGCAAGACTCATTTTCGTTCTCCCACCATAAAAAAAAAAAGATAATTATTCTTTTGAGGTGTTCCCGGTCAATCCCTTTCTCCTCTCTCCTTCCCCTCAGGTCCTGGATCGGGAGGGCCAAATGGATAACCCATGCACTAGTTGGCTCGCAGATGCCTACTGGGATAACATCACAGAGCTAGACAAACTGACCAACTTCCACGGACTCATGAACTCCTTTGAGCAGTATCCTCGTGACTGGCACCTGTGGTATACCAATGCCACCCCGGAGAAGGCTATGCTGCCAGGTGCCCAGGCAGCCGAGCCTCCCTCTCCTGCCCTCCCTTCAGCCCGTGTGCTTGCCCTTCCCTTTCTTCTTCATCTCCTCTCCCAAGTTCGCCTCAGCGTATCTGCCTCCTGGCAGAACATTCCCTGCAGGTGCCCCTTTGGTTAGATTCCCAGCTCTTCCAGACTCACCCTCCCTGCGATTATTCAACTCATCCCCAGGTGAGTGGGAGAATGCTTGCAATGAAATGCAACGGATGCTCATCGTCCGCTCCCTACGCCAGGACCGCGTGGCATTCTGCGTTACGTCTTTCATCATCTCCAACCTTGGCTCTCGCTTCATCGAGCCTCCTGTGCTAAACATGAAGTTGGTCAGTGGCTTGGTTTCCTTGCCCACACTACCCCTGGGTCCTTCCTGCCTTCCTCTCCTGGTTCCATTCTACCATACCCATTTCCTCAATCTCTCTCTCCCACTTGTGTGACATGGCCTTCTGCCTGAGGCCATACCCTGTGCTTCTGGCAGGTGATGGAGGATTCAACCCCACGAACCCCACTCATATTCATCCTGTCCCCCGGTGTGGACCCCACCAGTGCCCTGCTCCAGCTGGCAGAGCACACAGGCATGGCGCAGCGCTTCCACGCCCTGTCCCTGGGCCAGGGCCAGGCCCCCATTGCTGCTCGGCTCCTCCGAGAGGGTGTGATTCAGGGTCAGTGTCCATCTTGTTCTTCTACCCCTGTCCTTGGCCCTGGCCCTACTCTCCAGAACCTCTAACCTCAATCACACTATTGTAACTGCGGCTCCCACTTCTCCAGAAGGCTCTAGGAGTGGCAGACCTGAGCATTTGGACGCTCCCCCCCGCCCCGCATACACTCACACAATCAGGTGGAAAGTGTGAGGACAGATAGGCCTTAGGGAATGGTTCCCACTGAACCCAGCATCTCTTTGCAGGACATTGGGTGTTCCTGGCTAACTGCCATCTGTCACTGTCTTGGATGCCTAATCTGGACAAACTGGTGGAACAGCTGCAGGTGGAGGATCCTCACCCTTCCTTCCGCCTCTGGCTCAGCTCTAGCCCCCACCCAGACTTCCCTATCTCAATCTTGCAGGCCAGCATCAAGATGACCACAGAACCACCAAAGGTATGGGCCACTGTAGATAGCCAGCATCAACCGTGCCATCTGGTCTACCTCCCCTCCTGCTAGCATCAGAGAGAGGGCTTAACCTTCACAACAACATGGCTTGTGTGATTCTACTGTCCTCTGAAAAATTCCACCTCTTTTCTTTCCTCCAGGTGCCAAACTCTTAGAACATGATAGTAATAGCTCATATTTCTTGAGTGTTATTGTGTGCCGGGCATTGTTCTAAATGCTTTACCTTTATAATTCATTTAACACACACACACACACACACACACAGACAATCAGGTAAGTACTATTACCCTCATTTTACCGATGGGCAACTAAGGCACAGAAAGAGTATATAACTAGTCCATGGAACCTTCCTGCTGCCTGACATTTCCTTACATTCTCTCTCTAATGTCACTTCCTGGACTCCCAGACTCTTTCTCCTTCTTTCCTTCCAAGTCTATTGAAATTTGTATCTCCAATATTACAAGGTCACCATTGAATGCAATCATATTGACCCTTTGAAATCTGATCATGTCGCTACATCCTATGCACTTACCCCCTGCTTAAACTATATTAATAGCTTTTTATTGCTTTCAGTCAAGATCAAACCCTTATCGCCGTGGCCTGTGTGTCCCAGTGGGCACCTCTCCAGCTTCCTCGGTTGCCACTCTGCTTCACTTTATTTGCTCTACCAACACTGTTAATTAAAAAAATTTTTTTTTTGTTCTTCCTCAGTAGACCCTCTGTTCTCCTGCCCCCAAGGCTTTTGTACATGCTGCTCTCCCTTCTTTCCTCCCCACCCACGCCTTTGCCTCATCAGGTCTCAGCCCAGTCATCACTTCCTCAGGAAGCCTCTGACCTCCATGTCAGGTCAACACTCCAGTGACCCGCCCTCATAAAACATTTACCACTCTCTTCGGCTCTTACTGTAGTAATTTTACATGTGTTAGTGTGATCCTGATTCATGCCTATCTTCCTCTCTAGACTGTAAGCTCCATGAGGGCAGAAGCCATGTTTTTTTTTTCCTCTCACTGTTTTGCTCATCCTGTGACTAGCACAGGGACCCGTATGTAGCAGGTGCTCAACAAATAAGTCCTGGACCGTTTGAATGCACACACACAAGGATGTCTTTCATCATTCTGAATCCTCCATGACCGCCTTGAGGCAGTTGACACAGTTGACCACCCCTTTCCTGGTTTCCCTGACACACACTCCTGGTTCCCCCTCTGTCTCTTGCCACATCCTTTATTACTTCTGTGTTTCTTTCTCCTCCTATCATGTGGTTGTATCTCTAGACTTAGTCTTTGACCTCCAGCTTTTCTTCCTTTCACAAGTTGATGGAGAAATTGTCCTTTTCCTGATTTCAATTCCAATCCCCATTTCTGGCTCCAGTATCAAACTCAGTTCCAGGTCTGAATTCCATCTGGTTACAAAGCATTTCTTGGCCTGCCAGCACCATAAATCCCACACTCTCAAAACAAGTTGTCAGTTCCTCCACCATAGATTATCTCCTCATCCCATTTTTGTTAATGGTGCCACTAATTAAAAAAAATATATATGTTTAAAGTTGATTTTTATTTACCTTTATTTTTTTCTGCCAACAAAAGTATTCTGTACCCCCATTTAAAAATGTCAAACAGTCCAGAAATGTGTCGCCAGTGTAACAGAACATTTCTTAATTCATTTTGTTTAAGAACCTTTTTTTGTCTTCTAAGAGAAGTGTGTGCCTTGGTAGCTAGAGGGCCCTCTGTCGATTGAGCACCCTATGATGGGTAGCGGTGTATAAGGGCACAGGTAGGTGCTACTTAAGTCTGCATAATGAAAGTGGGAGGCAATGATAAATCTGAGGGAAACCTAGGAAGAGGAGAGAGGAATCAGAGAGGATGGTTCTGCAATGGGGCAGGTCCCGAGGGGAGAGGGCCCCATCCTGGCTCGGCCCAGGAGAGCTTCTGTGAAATGCTGCTTGCTGCTGATGCAGAATCTCCCTGCAATCTGCCAAACCTTCATGGAAAGTAGAACATTCAGGGCATACTTGGTACAACTGGATTTCTTTTGGAAACTGACAAAGAGTCCGTATTTTTTAATATTTATTTGGAAATCATTTTAAACTTACAGAAAAGTTGTAAGAATAAGAATAGTACAGGGCCAGCCCCGTGGCTTAGCGGTTAGGCGCTCTCGCTCTGCTGCTGGCGGCCCGGGTTTGGATCCTGGGCGCGCACCGACGCACCGCTTCTCCGGCCATGCTGAGGCCGCGTCCCACATGCGGCAACTAGAAGGATGTGCAACTATGACATACAACTATCTACTGGGGCTTTGGGGGTCAAAAAAAAAAAAAAGAATAGTACAAAGAACACCCATATATATGTTACCCAGATTCAAGTATTGTTAACATTTTGCCCCACTTGTCTTATCACTTGATCTCTCTCTCTGTTTCTCTCTCTCTTTGAACACACACACTTTTTCTGAACCATTTGACAGTAAATTGCATGTATCATGGCCATTTACTGCTAAATGCTTCAGTGCATTTCAGTGTAAAGGGCTCAATCCTAAGAATAAGGATATTCTCTTATATAACTGCTGTGCAGTTGCCAAATTCAATAAGTCAACAGAATATTTTAATCTAAATATATTATGTATTCCAATCAATCATGTCCTTTATAAATTTTTCCCCCAGCACAGGATCCATTTTAGATCAGGTATTACGATTTTGTTGTCCTGTGAAAGAGGCCAGTTTTTGCCTCAGGATATAAAAAGTCAGCCCAAATAGTCAAGGGGACAGTGGTTCATGAGTTTTACTTCAAATAAGAAAGTCCCCTTAATCACAGCCCCCCTGCCCGTTGTCAGTTTGGGGTATAGTCCTGGAGTATATTCTTGGATCACTGCCTGCCATCCAGTCTTTTTTAAAAAATTAAATATTAAGTAGACACAAAAGAATATTTATAAAATATATGCAAGATATAAAGGATCAAGAATAAACACCTGTATACCCATCATCCTGTGTAAGAAAGAAGATTACCATTTTCTTTGAAGTCTTGGTGCACTTCTCCCCAATCTCACTGCCTTCCCTCCCTACTCAGAAGAAGCCACTATTCTGAATGTTATGTTTGTCACTTTCTTTACTTTATAATTTTAACACAAAAGTTTATATGGCTAATGGAACCACGTTGTATACATACATATTCCTCTGGGACTTGCTTTTTTCATTCAATATTATGTGCTTGACATTCATTCATGCTGTTCTTCGTGTTTTGTAGTTCTTCATATATTCCAGATCCTAATCTTTTGTCAATTATGTGTTATTTTGTTGTCTTTTCTCTTTTCTCTGTTTTTTTTTTTTTTTTTTTTTTTTTTTTTGTGAATAGAACTTTTAAAGTTTTTTGAGGTTGGATTTAGTCATCTTCTTTTTTACGGTTTGTACTCCTATGTCTTGTTTAAGAAATCTTTGCTTGGGGCTGGCCTGGTGGTGCAAGTGGTTAAGTGCGCGCGCTTGGCTGTGGCAGCACAGGGTTCGCCGGTTCGGATCCCGGGCGCACCCACGCACCGCTTGGCAAGCCATGCTGTGGCGGCATCCCATATAAAGTGGAGGAAGATGGGCATGGATGTTAGCTCAGGGCCGGTCTTCCTCAGCAAAAAGAAGAGGATTGACAGATGTTAGCTCAGGGCTGACCTTCCTCACAAAAAAAAAAAAAAAAAGAAATCTTTGCTTACTCCAGGATTGTAAAGTAACTCTCTTATACTTGCTTCAAAAAAATCTTATAATTTGACTTCTACATTTAGGTTTTTAATCACTTGAAATTGATTTTTGTGAGTGTGGAATAAGGTAGAGGTCTAATTTTATTTTTTTCCACATGGATAACCAACTGTCTCAGAACCATTACTGAGTAGCCCACAATTACCCTCCTGATCCACAGTTCTCAGCCTTAATCCTGTTTTCATATATATATATATTTATATATATGGGTTTCTGGACCCTTTATTCTGTTCATTGTCAAAAGTTGTTTATCCTGTGGGTCAATATACACTGTCTTAATTACTGTATAGCTCTATAATAATTCTTGATAGCTGGTAAGGCAAATCTCTTTACCTAATTCTTCTTCAGGCTATTCATGGCCTTTTATTCTCCAACATAAATTTTGGAATTAGATTTTCAAGTTCCACAAAAAAATTCTATTGATCAATTTGGGAGAAATCAACATCTTTAGGCTATTGGGCTTCCCAATCCATGATTGTAGTATGTCTCTCCATTTTATTCTTTATTTCAATAAAGTTTTGTAATTTTCTCTATAAAGATTTGTACATTTTTATTAGATTCATTCCTAGATGCTTTACATATTTTGATGATATTATAATGGCATTTTTAAAAATCATATTTTCTTTTTGTTACTGATCTATCCAGCATTCTTACTTCAGTTTTCTCACTACTCCATTCTGTCCATCATAGATGAGTCTTCTTAAAACACTGTTTCAACGTAGCACAGAAAGTGGATCCATGAGGCCTGGTGAATCAAGTCCAAATGGCTCAAACTGCTATTCTTATTGCATCTCCATCTGTTCATGGCCCTTCTGACCCAACCTGAGCACTTGCACTCGACTTCAGTTAGACTCATCTTCTCACTTATTCTCCCTTTTGTGCCTTTATTCCTTTAATTCTTTCCATCGCCAGGAAACCAAGGCCCTCCTCTCAGCCTAGTCATCTCCTTCCCATTTGTAAGACTTAGCCCAAATCCCAACTTGTTCATGAGCCTGATAAATCCAATCACATGGTTCCTCCTTGATGATATACTATGGGCCTTTTAATCTATACTGAACCTTTGCACGTAGTAGTGTACATTCTTGTTCATTAATAGTTGCATGTATATGTCTTCATCTTTGTTCATGTTTTCTGGCACTCCCAAATTGAGTTGGCCTAGCCACCATTGAAAACATTGTGGCTGAGAAGATCAAAACTGGGGGGACAGGATGGTAGGGCTGCCACTAGCCTGTACAGTGCCTGTGTGTGAACTAGAGAAAGGCACCCAGCCCTGTGAATGAGTGCACATCTCAGCATGCAGATCAAGCACTGGATTTCAGCCTCCACTCACCCTTCAGCCAGTACCCTTGTGCAGTGAGCAACCGCCACAACTGTACACAGTGGTGCTGGTGGTAGGGCTGAGCATGATGCATGTCACTCCATCTCTGTACTTCATTGTTCCCAGGGCCTAAAGGCCAACATGACACGTCTTTACCAACTGATGACAGAACCACAGTTTTCCCGCTGCTCCAAACCTGCCAAGTATAAGAAGCTGCTGTTTGCCCTCTGCTTCTTCCACTCTGTGTTACTGGAACGCAAAAAGTTCCTGCAGCTTGGCTGGAACATTGTCTATGGCTTCAATGACTCTGACTTTGAGGTTTGTGCTAACGGAGGGTCCCTCATCCCAGCCCTCTCTCCTTACACTTCCTGCCCCATAGCTCCCCTGCGAGAATATCTGCTAACAGAAAGCCTGTGTTAAAGCCCCATTGGAAGATTTCCTGCCATAACTGTGTGTGGGGCCGGGGGCTCGGGCTGGGACCATACACAGGTGTCAGAGAACTTGCTGAGTCTCTATCTGGATGAGTATGAGGAGACACCCTGGGATGCGCTCAAGTACCTCATTGCTGGCGTCAACTATGGTGGGCATGTCACGGACGACTGGGACCGGCGCCTGCTCACCACCTACATCAATGACTATTTCTGTGATCAGTCTCTATCAACCCACTTCTACCGGTGAGGAGGAGGTGGCACTCAGCAGGGGGCCAGAGGACACAAAGAGACCAGGTGGCAGCACTGGGGGTAGGGGAAGTATTTGAGGAGAAAATATGAGATTGGGAGAAGGCTGAGCTTGTGGGAGGGGGAGCAAGAGCAGGGAGTTGGGATGAATGGGATGTGTGCAGGGACTGAGGTCTTGGCCTGGCATTGAAGCCCCAGAGTCCCCACAGTGTGGTGATAATTATGCTATGGCTCCCTAGGTTGTCAGTATTGGAGACTTATTTCATCCCCAAGGATGGCAGCCTGGCCTCTTACAAGGAGTACATCAGCATGTTGCCCGGCATGGACCCCCCTGAGGCCTTTGGCCAGCACCCCAATGCAGATGTGGCCTCCCAGATCACTGAGGCACGAACTCTCTTTGAGACTCTGCTTTCCCTGCAACCCCAGATTACACCCACCAAGGCTGGAGGCCAGAGTCGGGAAGAGAAGGTAAGAACAGATAGACACCTGGGGGAGGGAAAGCAATGAGGAAGAGAGGTCTACACTGACAGCGCCTGCCTTGTCAGGTCCTTGAGTTGGCTGCTGATGTCAAACAGAAGATCCCTGAAATGATCGACTACGAGGGGACCCGGAAACTGCTAGCTATGGACCCCTCCCCCCTCAACGTGGTCCTCCTGCAGGAGATCCAGAGATACAACAAGCTTATGGAGACCATCCTGTAAGATGGAGTGGGGGTATGCGGAAGGTGGGGAAGGAGCAAGAGGAAAGGACTTCACCTCCCGCCTAGTATGGCTTTCCCAGGCCGATCCCATCTCTAACCCTCCACCTTATCCTGCTCAGGTTCTCACTGACGGACCTAGAAAAAGGCATCCAGGGCCTCATTGTCTTGTCTACAAGCCTGGAAGAGATTTTCAATTGCATCTTTGATGCCCATGTCCCTCCACTCTGGGGAAAGGCAAGATTACATCACTGTTGATCTTACTCCAATAATGAGCTCTCTCCTGGTTCTAAGGAGGCAGATAGCAAGACAGAGTGAGCCTCAGCTTTGGAGCATATAGGTTCAAAGTTGAAACCTGGCTCTTCCATTCACTGCCTGACTTTGTACAAGTTATTAACTTAGGAACTAACTCGGGACAAGTTACCTCTCTAAGGCTACTTCAGGGATTCCCAGTACTGTGCATAACACTTAGTAGGTGCTTCATTAATGGTAACTGGGTAATATTACCGTTGCTATGTTGCTAATAAATAGTTGTCATTTTATACTTCTTTCCTGGGAGTTGGCTTTTAGAGAGCTTTGCCCAACTACAGTTGGGGAACAGGGGCTGACACCACATATTCTTCTCATATCTGCTCTGGGTACTCGAAATAAGGATTTGAATGCATGAATAAATGAATGAACACACATACACTGCTTCCTCCTTCAGGCATATCCCTCACAAAAGCCATTGGCTGCATGGACCCGGGACTTAGCCATGCGTGTGGAACAGTTTGAGCTGTGGGCCAGCCGTGCCCGGCCTCCTGTGATCTTCTGGCTATCTGGCTTCACCTTTCCCACTGGCTTCCTCACTGCTGTGCTGCAGTCTTCAGCTCGCCAAAACAATGTGAGCAATGTGGAAAGTGTCATGGGGGAGAGATGCTGGGGACAGGTATTTGCTCTCCTCTTTGGCAGTCCTCTCTTATTCTCACCTTCAATCCCCAGATTTCAGTGGACAGCCTCTCTTGGGAGTTTATCGTTTCCACTGTAGACGACAGCAACCTAGTGTACCCACCCAAGGTGTGAACCAGATGTGCTTGGGGCTCTGAGCAAAGGCTCTGAGTGAGGTCTGGCAGGAAAGGGTGCTAGGAACAAAGGTGGGAATTAATTGGTTGAGAAGGGAGGAGAGAGGTGGCAGGTCAGGGGTTCTGGCAACTGAGGGTCTAGACTTCCTCCCAAACCTGCCCCCTTCTCTCCCCAGGATGGTGTCTGGGTTCGGGGCCTGTATCTGGAGGGCGCCGGTTGGGATAGAAAGAACTCATGCTTGGTGGAGGCAGAGCCCATGCAGCTTGTCTGCCTCATGCCCACGATCCACTTCCGGCCTGCAGAAAGCCGCAAGAAGAGCGCCAAAGGTGGGACAGCTCCCTCAGACCTGCCTGTCCCATGCCTAGTTTGGATCCTCATCCATCCTCTGCTCCATCCCTGCCCCACAGCTGCTCCTGCCCTGCTCTCCCAGAGGCTCCAGGGGTCTGACTCCTTCTCTCCTTTCCCTCAGGCATGTACTCCTGTCCCTGCTATTACTACTCCAACCGGGCAGGCAGCTCAGACCGAGCCTCCTTTGTCATTGGCATAGACCTCCGGTGTGGGACCATGACATCTGATCATTGGATCAAGAGAGGCACTGCCCTACTCATGAGCCTGGACAACTGAGAAGGCCTCCTTTTCTTCCCCTCTTGAGAGAGCGCTGGGGACTTTTAAGAATCAAGGCTGATAATGCACCTAGGACGGAAGCTGGACCTCACTCACGCCTTGACCTTGGCTGAATTTGTCGTGTGATGGGGCCCTGGAGATACCTAATTGTGCTAGCCATAAAGGAGAAAGAAATGTATTGGAGCTCAGTGCTATAAAACACCCGCGACCACAACCCCTAAGTCTCTCAATGGGATGGAGAGGGTTTGAGCAGGAAGCACGGGGCCTTACAGTGGACCGGAACTCCTGTGAGAGGCAACTAGACGGGGAATGGAGGGAGGGAAGCGGGAGGCCTTGAGAGGAAGGGAGGCGTGGCCTTGGACGAATGGGCAGGGCGGTGGGGCCTAAAGAGGGTGTGGCCAAATCTCGGGGTCAGCACTTGAGTAGGTGGGGCGGGGCTTACTTTGGAAGGGCGCGTGATCCAAATGGAATAGGGGTTTGTCAGGCAGGGATCCGGGCTGGACCCCGTGCGTTGCACCCTGAACCCTGCACCCCGCATTCGGCATCCTACTCGGTACCGGCGCTGAGGCGAGCGGGACCGGCAGAAGGCGGGGCGGAGCCGGAGAGGGGACTTCGGAGCGAGGAGGGGCGGGACCATGAGAGGGGGGCGGGGCTGGGGAGGGGGGGCGGTGTTTGTGTTGGAAAATCCAACTGCGCCACGGGGCGGAGCGGCCCCCCCAGCCCCGGCCTGGGAGAGGGGGGGGCCGCTCGACCCCCTGGGACCTTGGGGAGCCTGAACACCTGGGACACCCCAGAATCAGGTAACGGGGAGTCGCGAGGGCATCTGGAAAGAGGGAAACCATCTCCGCTTAGGGGGGCGGGACGCCTGAGTCGTCAGAGGGGTAGAGTTGGGGATGGACGTTTGGGTCTCAGCAAAGGCACTGGGAAGAAGACTGGGGCGCAGGTCATCCGGGTCTCCTAGAAAAGAGCTGGGCGTGGGGGGTGGGGGGAGAGCTGGGAGGCAGATGTCTTGGGTTCCGGATGTCGAGAGGGGCCTGAAAAGACTCCCAGTCCCTCTCGGGCTGGGATTCCCCTTCCTGACACTAGGGCGGGGCGGGGCAGTCCCTAACTGAAGGGCAGAACTACAGGTCAGAGTTTGCAGATAGGTCAGTGCAATGGCCCGTTGAGGTCTGCTGTGGTCAGACAGGGATGTGTCTCCGGTCTTGGGGCCACTTCAAGTCTCCCACTGGTGAGGTGTGTAGCCTCAGCCCTGACTCTCACACCAGGAGCCCTGATGGCCTCCCAGCCGTAGCCTTCGCTCCCATCCATTCTGCCTCACCTCGCCTCCCTTCACTCGGCCTCACGCCGATAGTCTCCTCATCTCTCGTTCTGCCCCCACCTTGCCGTCTCCTGTTCTAGCCCTTGCCAGGCTCGGCCCCTTCTCTGTGCTGAACCTTCCCGAGGTAGCCACGAGATGGCGAGGGCGAGACGCCACAGCCGGAGCTGAGGGGAACAGGGTGGGGGTGGGGGCCGTAAAAGCCGCCTAAGCCCCTCGCCCGGGCCTGAGGGAAAGGTGAGCTGAGACGCTCATTTGACTTCCTGTCATCTCGGCCCCCTCACAGGAAATTGTGGGCGGGAGGGCGAAGGGCCTGGGATGGGGGGGGGCTGGGCACTCAGTCTCCGCCTCCCCAGGTTGGGGTAAATAGTGGGGAGGGGGCACGCGGGTTGGTTACTAAGCAACGCAGATTCGCTTCCTGTCTGCTGTGGCTTGTGGCTGTGACTTAGGGTGGGAGTCGGCTAGAGTGGGGGGGCTGGGAGACTGTGGGGAAGGTAGAGGGCAGGATGCCTGGTTCTCAGGACAAGGAGAGCCCGGGGAGGAAGGAGGGGAGGCAGCAAGCTGCGCTGCCACCGAATTGCACTCGGCGGTCATCAGGAGGGAGGCGGGACCCAGGCGCGGCGCTGAGCTCCTCTCCTCTTCGCTCCCGGGGGTTGCTTGCCCTGTTGCCAGAGTAACTGGAGAGCTAGAATCAGGAGCCGGATTCCCGAACTCTCGCATCCGCCCAATCCGCTCTAGCGGACGCCCCTGACATCAGGCCCTGGTAGCCTATGTGGAGGAGGCATTATAGAGCGACAAGAGGGAGAGGGGAGGGGAAGAGGTGGAGGAAAGGAGGGGGTAGCTGCCCGGGACCCGCACGTGCACTCCCACACGCTCTCGCCCACTCCCCCCTCTGCCGCACGCGCCCGAGTACTCCCCCTGCGCCTGCGCAGCGAATCGGCGCTCGCCGCTCGCCCCCCCCCCATCTGGAGTCTGTGTTTGCAAACTAGTCCGGAGCTGCGCTCCTCAGCCCCTCGGGACCCAGACGTCTGGGTCCTTCTGCCCTCTTCCGCGGGGTCTCGAACCATCAATGCCTAGCCTTCCGTGGGAGGGGCTGGCTACCTGTTCCCCAGCAACCCTTCAGCTGACGCCCCACTCTCCCAGGTGGGCTGGGCGGAGCTGTGGTTTCCGGCCCATATGCTCCGCCGCTGCCTTCCCGGCCTCTGGCTTAGGTTGCCTCCTCAAGAGGGGCGGAACGGGTACCAGCGCCCCTTCCCGAGGTTTCACTTGCTCGGGCCCAGCTGCTGTTGCTGGCGGGATAGGGCGCCGCGGGGAAGCCCCGGACCGCCCAGGTGACTCTCCCCGGGCCATCACACCCCTTCTTCGCGTGAATTCCTCCTCTTTGGTGTGCACCAAAGTCCTTTCCATCCCTAACGTCTCTTCTCCACTCGCCCTGGTGCTCTTTGCACCTCCCTCGGCTCCTTTCGGGCTGTCTGTCCCGATCTCCACTCGTCCTTCTCGGCTTCTCCCGGTTATATAACTCTTCCTCTTGCCGTGTCCTGGTTTCAACTCCACAGACTCCGCCCTGGAACAGCGCGGGGAGGGGCAGGAGAGTTGGGGACCCAGACAGATTCCGGCTGGCAGCCGGCTGGGACACGGGTGAGGGGGTCCCACAGATGGGAGACGGAGCCCTGCGGGACCCAGTGCCCCCGTCCCACCTCCCGCCCCCACCCGAGATCTCGCCCAGGAGAGAGAAGGCATAGTAGCTTTGAGAGGCGTGTCGGGACTCCGTCAGAAATGTGGGTTGGGAGGTCAGGGCTGGAGGAGGAGAGGAGGAGCCGAAAGGCCCGAGTCTCTGCGATTGGAGCCGCATTGAGGGTAAAAGAGATAAAGGTAGGACGCCTGGGTTCTTTCCTTTCCTTTCCTTTTTGGGTTCCCAGAATTCCTAAGGCTATTTCCCAGGAAGCTTAGCTAGCGGCCCCTCTCCGCCCCTAGGGGTCAAAGGTCTGTGTTAGAGGTGGCCTGGGATGATGTCACCAGTGCACGTGCCCCGGGATGGTTGCCAGGCAATGAGGCCTCCTCCCCTTTCCATTCCGGCCCCCCCACCTCTGCCCCGAGTCCAATTCCAGCCCCGTGCCATCTTTTTCACCTCTCCCTTCCCTTGGCCTTAGCATCCTGCAGGTGGGAAACCCTGGCCTGGAGTTTTGTGAGGGGGAGGGGGACGAGTTTGGTGTGTCCCTAAGACTTTGCCCCTTTGCTGGACTAAGAGAACCCTGGGTCACTTTTCCCTAGATTGGTACAGAAGAGCTTTCCCTCCATGCTCCCTCCCCCCTTGAAAGAGCCTCCCAGCAGTCTTTTTACTTTCCCACCTGCTGCATTGCCAAGTGTCCTATTGCCCCTGTCCCCATTTTGAGTTGAAGTGAGGGTGGTTTCAAGATAACTACCCCCAGGAGAAGAGCTGTGTGTGGTATGGGGGATTCCCTGGACACTAGCTCATCTTTGACCTTAATCAATGGCACCCCCACCCCCACCCGGGAAGGTAAGGAAAAGGGTCTAGAAACAGTATTAGACTGAAAAGTCAGGGTCTTTATTCTGTGTAGGTGGGTGGATCTCTCCCTTGAGGGAGGGGAACTCAGTTGATAGCCATGGTAGCCCTTCTCTATTGAGTTAAGTCCTGGGGTTGGTTATGGTATTGGAAAAAAATTGGTTTCTCTTTTTATGTACCTTAGAGCTTGGGCTGTCAGATCAGGCCTGAATTCTATTCTCAGCTCTGCCACTTAGTGGCTATAGGGACTTGGAAAGGTCACAACCTCTTTGAGCCTCATATTCTTAATCTGGAAAATTTAAATGTCAATACCTACCTTCTAGGCAGTTGGGAGGGGAAAAAAAATGAGATAATTTATGCAAAGCACTTAGCATAGTGCCTGACACAGAATGAACACTGAATGAATGCTTGTTATGAAAGCTTATTATTGTTCAATGGTGTTAGTTACTATTTTTATTATTATAGTTGGTAGGCCTGCTTCAAACTGGCCAGGACCTTAGGAGTTGTTAGGGAGGAGTGGAGAGTTTGTGTTAATTTGGGAGGGGGTGGGGAGAGGCTGGAGATTTGCTTCCACTGCTTTTGTGCACTTTATTTGATGATGGCTTTAGTCAGATTTGTATTGCTTGCTTTAGGATTATTTTTTTCCCCCTCTTGGAGAAAAAACAGCTAAGACTATTCCTCTGGCTGTAAAAATAAAATAATTGTATTGTGGTTCTTGATTTTTAGTCAAGACCCCAGTCCCCTCCCATGTTCTTTGGAGCCTTTCAGTTTTGCAAAGGGACTCCACAGTTTCCTTTGCGG